GAGAGAGAGAGAGAGAGAGAGAGAGAGAGATACTGGGGATTGAACCCAGGGGTGCTCTACCTCTGAGCTATATCCCTAGTACTTTTTATTTTTTATTTTGAGACAGGATCTCATTAAGTTGCTGAGTCTGGCCTCCATCTTAAAATCCTCCTGCCTTAGCCTCCTAAATTGCTGGGATTACAGCACCATGCCTGGTTTATAACAATACTTTTTTTTTTTTTTTTTTTTTTACTGGATAGTAAGCCCAGGGGTGCTGAATCACTCAGCTAGATACCCAGCACTTTTTAGTTTTGATTTTGAGATAGGGTCTCACTAAGTTGTTGAGGCTGGTCTTGAACTTGCAATCCTCCTGCCTCAGTTTTTCAAGTTACTGGAATTACAGGTATGCACTAATGCTCCCAGCTTCTGCTTTTTTTTTTTTTTTAAAGATTTTGATTGGAGACTATATACTCAGGGTAGTTTGAGTCCTGGAAATATTACTTCTTTGCTTTTTTGAAGTTTTCTTAGGGATGGGAAGTGACTAGGAAGATGGCTATTTTCTGTTAGTGTAGTGATTTCACTTGTCTTGTTCATGAAACAAAGCCTTATGCTTCTCCTGTATCCTTTGGTCTTGAATAAGTGGCAGTGATCTTCATTTCTGAATTCACTTTTTGACTATGTGTTTCTGTGAAGGGGAACAATAGAAAAGAGAGTAACCCACAAGCTAGTGATATGTATGAATTTAGTTACCCTGAATTCAGCTGCTAGATCCTTCAGTTCTCAATTTTCCCCCTACTCTTGGCTTTTAGGAGAAGGATATAAATGATTAAAAAGCAAGCTAAGGCTGGGCATGGTGGCACACGCCTGTAATCCCATGACTCAGGAGGCTGAGGCAGGAGGATCACAAGTTCAAGGCCAGCCTCAGCAACTAATCAAGGCCCTAAGACACTGTCTCAAAATAAAAAAGGTCTGAGGATGTAGCTCAATGGTAAAGTGCCCCTGGGTTCAATCCTTGGTACCAAGAAAAAAAAAAAAAGCAAGATAAGAGCAAGGATTGTGTTAAAAACAAACAAGCAAGCAAACAAACAAAAAAGCCACTAAAATCATCTTCCAGGTTCAATTTTCATTCACCTTCATCACAAACTGCCTCGCCTAATATAATAGTTGGTTTGCTCCCCCCCATGCAGTTGTGTGTGACAAGGAGGCAGGAGAAGGATCTCACGGGAGTTGTTCAGCAACTGCAGCAAATGTACAACCTGGGGTTAAATGTTTGCCTTGAATGGACTGCAGCTTGCTTACTCCCCATGCTGATGAGCTAAGCTTTTTCCTTAGCTTACTTTCTCTGCTCTCCTTCTGCTCCTTGCTCATCCACTTATAGTCTGCCTCTAGTCAAGATCTCTTTTTTTCAAGGAGAAATGTGCCTCAGGAGGAGGATAAAAATAGGCCAGTGATAACTCTCATTGGATATTCCCATTCATTTGCTTTGAAATTCTGTTCAGATCAACAAGTATTTATTGATAGCTTCTTTTTCCCTTACATTTATTGGAATGTGAGAAATATAGAATCACGATGATAATGTTAATGGCTGACATTTATTTAGCATTTACTATATGTCAAGTGCAGCTCTAAGCACTTTATGTGAGTACATTTGATCCACATGGTGACCCAGTAAAGTACTATTATTATCCTCCTTTTATTGAAAAGGAGACTGAAGTTAACTAACTCACCCAAGTAGGAGCTGGTAGAGCCAGGATTCAAACCCAAGAGTTTCTGGTCCAGTAAGACCAGTTTCTTGCTCTTATGAAGTCTAGTTGGGAGAGATGTAATCAACATGCTGAGAAACAGCTAGGAAATAATACAGTGCTCTGGCAGTGAGGGTACAGGGAGTAGAGAAGGGAGAGATGAACTTAGCATAGGCCTTTTGGAGGAGGGAAGACTTCTCTAAGTTCCAAATTCTTCATCTATCACATAGGTTGTAAGGGAATCTACCTCATAGATTTAGGGTGAGAATTGGATGAGATATGTATTTTAAGAGCTTAATGGTAGTGCCTAGCATAGGTGAATACTCCATAAATTGTGATTGTGATGATGACAGGAATGTCTCTAGGACCTGAAAGGTTGAAATAGCCAGAGAGGAAGAGGTGTATTATGAGGAAAGAGAGGAATGAATATGTCTTTGTGAAGAGTTTCTAAGGACATATAGTTTTCTTTTTCACTTGCTGATGGTCATTAATCACCTACTAGTTGAGATAGTTGAGGGAATGAATATTTTCAGCTCATCAGCAGCCTTGAGTCATTTTTTAAAATGTGGTGCTGGGGATTGAACCCTTCACCCATGCTAGGCAAGCGCTCTACCACTGAGCCACAACCCCGGCTCCACCCTGAATCTTTTCACTGGTCTTGAAGCATGCTAAGATACCCTCTGACGCTGTGAACTTACTTCCTGATTGATCCTTTTCTCTCCCTCCTCATCAAGCTTAACCCTAATGCCAGATGAGTGGGCATTAAAAGCCCTGGACATTCCCAGAGTGGGATCAACTTTGGTGCTTTCAAATCCAGGCTCAGTTGTTTGCCTGTCCTTAGTGGTTGTGATCCTTTGCTGAGGCAGAGGAATTGTGGCTCTCAGTAGGTTGATAGAAGGCAGAGGTTAGCTTGGGGATAAGGGAGGTCCTTTGAGACCATAGGTAGCATCAATCAATTGAGTATTTGTTGAACTCATACTATGTGTTAGGTGCTTAGAGTAATTCAAGAGAAGTAAATAGCATGGTCCCTGCCCATGAGGTACTGCTGATTTTGTTGTGGATACCAGATTGACATACTTGTTACAATTGGAAATCACCTTAAGATAGGTATAATTAAATGTTGAATTGCTTGCTTTCTTCAGGTGTCGCTACCTGGCTGTCCAGCTGTCTCCTGCCATCCCTGTGTTTGCTGCTATGCTCTTCCTTTTCTCCATGGCCACACTGTTGAGGACCAGTTTCAGTGACCCTGGAGTGATTCCTCGGGCCCTACCAGATGAAGCAGCTTTCATAGAAATGGAGATAGGTGAGTCTCCCAACCAGCTGGCAAACTGCTATGCAGTGGGTGGCCCTATTCAGTAAGGGGTGGAATCATAATAGTGGTTGCAGATTCAGTCTGCTATTCTAGCCTTTTCTTTCTGAGATCCTGACCACCCTGAGAATTTGGTAAGGCAGGTATAGAAAGATTCTAAAGTCACATGCTTTGTCTTCCCTATGTTGGGTTGCATTGCAGGAAGGATTTATTAACAAAGTCTGGCTGCATTGTGCTGACGAGGATCATTTTTTACTTTTCTTTTTTTAATATTTATTTTTTAGTTGTACACAATACCTTTATTTTGTTTATTTATTTTTATGGGATGCTGAGGATCGAACCCAGGGCCTCACACGTGCTAGGTGAGCACTCTACTGCTGAGCCACAACCCCAGCCCTCATTTTTTACTTTTCTTGGGGAGGTCACCAGCATTATTTTTTTTTTAACAAATGCTGTAAACCGTCCTCCATTAGCTATTATTTTTTTTTATGTTACTGAGTATTGTACCAGGGGTGCTTTACCACTGAGCCACATTCCCAGTCCTTTTTACTTTTTTATTTTGAGACAGGGTCTCACTAAGTTGCTTAGGACCTCACTGAGTTGCTGAAGCTGGCTTTGAACTCTTGATTCTTCTGCCTCAATCTCCTGAGTTGCTGGGATTACATGCAAACTATTTTTTATATGTGTGCACATACATATAATTTTGGATGTAATTTCGGGGATTCGTAGATCTTCCAAAGCATCCTGGATCAAGAATTCCTGTTTTAGGAATTCTTACAGAGACTTTAGGAATTCTTGCAGAGGTGAAAAGGGGCAGCTGTACTACCAGGAACCACTGAGAATTCCAGGGGAGGTAAGGGAAGCGATTGCAGGCTCAGTAGTGTGCAGTCTGCTGCTTAGATGAAGAATCTTTGGGAAAGAGATTAAAATGCTACACCATGAGGAGCCAGAATGGTTTTGTGAATTGAAGCAGAACATCCCAGGATTAGAGAGAGGATATCCTGGGAGCTCACAGTGGGAAAGGAGTCTGCAATACAAGTACTGGGAAGGTAATGGGAGTCCACGCAACCAGCAGCGATGACTATCTAAATGGTTCTCAAGTTTGGCACCTCAGTAGCTTGAGTCAGCATCTCAGCCAGATAGAGTAGAAGAAAGGGACCCATGATTTTAAGCCTAAGAAGCTATGCCATGCCAGTAGAGTGCCTACTTGTGGCTAGTCTTTAGTTCTTTGAGGCTGCTTTCCAGGCTTCCATTCTTTTGTGTAATGCAAAAGAATTTTATTTGTTTTATCTGTGTTTCCCCCCCAGCTTCTTAGTGGATTCCTTTTTGAAAAATCAAGTCTGCTTTTGTTGAGCTAAGGAGAAATTGATTTGTGTGCATGTGAGCTAGAACTACCTCGGGTTGGGATGAGGGTGGGAATAGTGGAAAGAAAGCAGAGATGAGGTGAGTTGGCATGGCTGCAGTTCTGGGGAGACCAGAGGGTAGAACTGGGATTAGTTAAGAGTAAGACAGTGAGGAGGAGTTATTAGTGCTGTCCCCACCCCCCATCTTGTCATTCTTCTATATTTCCCCTTTCCATTTACATATGGAGAAACTTGTCTCTTAACATCTCACAGCAGGTCAGCAACAAGGATAGCTCTTTTCTGCCCCATCACTGGGCCTAGGGCCCAGATTCAAGCTGTCATGTTGTGACCTCTGTATTTAGCATGTTTCTCCAGATAGAAGAGTGCATTCTTTAGTTAATGTGTATGTTTATATTAGCAACTATTTGTCAGTTTACATTCAGCCCTGTACTGGGTATGCTGTGTGTGTGTGTGTGGGGGGGGGAGAATTCATGTGACTCCTTTTCCTCATAGCGCCTCTTGGGGAGAGTGAACCATGAACTCTGTTTCCCAGGTGCCCTCATGTAAAGCATATGCAAGGGAATATTAAGGTGGCATGGTGGCACTTGTATCATCCCCTAATGAATAGCAGTCCCCATCCTTTTAAGACTTGTGACACACTGTTATTGTTTGATTTTACAGCACCTACCCCACTCTGCAGAAAAAGGAAAAATGTTCCATATGGTAGATATTTTTAAAATCAAAGTGAATTGAAAAATATTCTGTTTTTAGAATGATACTGCATGGCAAGGGCACAACGAGACAGGGACTCTCATATGCTGCGGAAGGACAGCATGAAAATTCATAAATCTGTCTGGGAAGCAGTTTGTCAATAAGTAACACAGGCTTTAAGAGTTTATACTCTTTGACCTGGTAATTAAGGGTTTGCTAAAGGTTTAGCTAGAAGAAATAATCAAATATTTTAAACAAATCACCTTAGAAGCACTTTTAGTGTATCGTTTTTCTTTTTAATATGAATATAGCTATTTTAATGCTAGAAACTTCATATGTTATTGCTCAGACATCTACATGCCTTTATGCTTTAGAAATTAATTTTTTTTAAAATTTTTTAATATTTATTTATTTTTAGTATTTGGCGGACACAACATCTTTGTTGGTATGTGGTGCTGAGGATCGAACCTGGGCCGCACGCATGCCAGGCGAGCGCGCTACCGCTTGAGCCACATCCCCAGCCCAGAAATTAATTTTAACACATGAATATATTCTTGGGGAAGGAAGAAGGGGACTAGGATTGAGTGATCAAAGAAAATTGAAGCTTTTATCTACAACGTTCTATGTTTTTGCCTGCAGTATCATTTAAATAGTAAAAACTCAGAGACAAATGCCTAACAATATGAAATTGGTAAATAAATCATAGTATATGCATATCATGGACTATTGTTAATAATGCTGTTTTAGAAAAAATTAACAACCCTGGGTAAGTGCTCCCAGTTTAATGTTAAGTAAGTAATTCATAGTACAAGATTGCATTTATATGATCTCAAATTGTTAAAAGTCATGAATGTTTATTTATCTGTTAAGAGAAGAAGATATGCCAAAAAGTGTGACTATTTCTGAGTTGAGAGACTGTCAGTAATTTTTATTTTTCCTTATATATATTTTTTTCAAAAACATATATTATTCTTATTTTACTAATTATTTTTTCTATTACCTATCTTTTTATGCATGTATTTTATTTTTGTAAGACAGTGTCTTTTTTGTAAGATAGTGTCTTAATCCTATAGATTTTTAGAATTTTGCAATATACTATATTTTCTTGTGCTACCATTCATCTACATTGTTTTAATTGGCTGCATAATGTACCATTCTGTGCATTTATTTATTTATTTAATCTACTTTCTTTTTTTTTTTTTTAAAGATAGAGTGAGGGGGGAGAGAGAGAGAGAGAGAGAGAGAGAGAGAGAGAGAGAGAGAGAGAGAGAGAGAATTTTTTAATATTTATTTTTTAGTTCTCGGTGGACACAACATCTTTGTTTGTATATGGTGCTGAGGATCGAACCCGGGCCGCACGCATGCCAGGCGAGCGTGCTACCGCTTGAGCCACATCCCCAGCCCCTAACCTACTTTCTATTAGGACACTGATGTTACTTAGTTTCTCACTATCAAAAAGGACTCAGAAAAATCTTTTTTTTTTTTTTTTTTTGTATCAGGGATTGAACCCAGGGGCACTTTACCACTGAACCACATACCCAGTCCTTTTTATTTTAAATTTTGAGATAGGGTCTTGCTAAGCTGCTTAGAGCCTTGCTGAGTTGCTGAGGCAAGCCTCAAACTTGTGAGCCTCCTGTCTCAACCTCCTGAGTTGCCAGAATTACAGGTGTGTGCCATCATGCCTGGCAAATCTTGTATGAACATCTTTTGCATTTGTCTTTATAATTTTGACAAGCTCCTTGTAGTGGAATTGCTAGGTCAAAGATTATACATATTTAAAATTTGGTAGCTGCTTCTATGTTGCTCAATGGTAAGGTATGAAAATGACTTTTTCCCACTTTTGCCTATGTTAGGTATTTTTATTATTTTTGATATTTGTTAATATTACAGGTGGAAATGTTATCTTTGTGTTTTGATTTTTATTTATCTGATTATTAGTGAAGTTGGATGTTTTTGTATATTTTTTCATTTCCTTCCATGAATGTTTTTCTTTGTAATCAAACACACAAACAACAACAACAACAACAATAAAACTTGAGGAAATTCTTTTTTCACAAGTACATAACAAAATTTCATGGTGCTCAGTGAAGTTTGGTGGAGGGGGACACTGTGTGATGTTGAAATTCTGTCTAGAAATGGTCACCTGGAGAAGGTAGTAGACCTAGGGAACTTCTGATGATCCTCACTGTTTTTGGAGGGATGGTAAGATTTTGGTGCTTACGTAATGGCTAGTAGTAAAACTGTCTTTACTGATTTACAGAAGCTACCAATGGTGCAGTGCCCCAGGGCCAGCGACCACCCCCTCGTATCAAGAATTTTCAGATAAACAACCAGATTGTAAAACTGAAATACTGTTATACATGTAAGATCTTCCGGCCTCCTCGGGCCTCCCATTGCAGCATTTGTGACAACTGTGTGGGTGAGTAAAATGAACAGGATATTGCCTGGGGGGAAAACTGAATTGGATCAGGGGGTCAGGGTGATCACCAGTTCTTGGGAAAAGGCAGTGGAGGGCTGGGTTAATGGCTCAGTGTTAGAGCGCTTGCCTAGCATGTGTGAGGCCCTGAGATTGATTCTCAGAACCACATACCAATAAATAAATAAAATTTAAAAATTCATCAACAATTAATAAAAATATTTTTTAAAAAAAGTCAAAGGAGGTCAGAAGATAGATTTAGCTGGGAAACAAGGTAGATTTAGATAGGAAAGAAGCTACTGCACAATGGTAAATCGATTATACCCGTGTAGACCAAATCATAATTTAAAATCCTCTAGTCTAAAATGGAAACAATCAAAGAAAACCTCAAACTCTTTGGTAAATAGGAAAATAAGCTTTACCTGTTTCTGAAATCTAGATTTCCTCCACTGGATCCAGGTCATGTGGGGCCCTCCTTACATAGAGGGAGGAGCATCCTTGTCCACTGGAGGGCAGTATTGAGGAAGGGAGGCCTATGTCACAGTAGTATTCCCAAGAAGAAAGGTGGTAGCATTTATATAGTTCCTACTATGCACTAGGTACTGTACTTATAATACCCCCACCCCAAAGTTGGTATTATCCCCATTTAACAGATGAGGAAATAGTGAAGTACCTTTGTATAAGCTCATGTGATTAGTATGAGATGAAGCTGGAATAGATATTAAAAAAAGCCCTCATTTTTCTCTCTGTTTCTGCTGTAGTGCGGCCAGTGTAGGTGTACGTGATTCACCTATGCTTCCATCCATATGTATGTAGCTTCCTTGTAAACACTGCCTACTATGTGGTAAACCCTGGGAAGGATCAGAAACAAGCAATGTGCTAATTGATAGGCACATGTGTAACATTGCTTATATTATTATTATTATTGGGCATAATTCCAACATTCTACATGCCATGCAGCATGTCCATGGTCCTTGCTTTCTTCTGACTAGCCAAATTCATTAGCCAAAGTGTGGAGAAATGTATCTTGCTTTATTTGGTGGAAATCTATATATAGGATAGGATTCTATAAATCAAAACTCATTTTTTTATTTTTTTGGTACCAGGTATTGAACTCAGAGACATTAAACCACTGAGCCACATACCCAGCCCATTTTATTTTTTTTAAATTTTTGAGGCAGGAATTTTTGAGGCAGGGTCTCACTGAATTGCTTTAGGACCTCGCTAACTTGCTGAGGCTGGCTTTGAGCTCATGATATTCTTGCTTTATTCTCCTGAGGTGCTGGGATTACAGGCATGCACCACCATGTCTGGCTTTAATACATATTTTATTTTATTTATTTTTAAAAATATTTATTTTAAAGTTTTAGATGGATACAATATGTTTATTTTACATTTAGGTGGTGCTGAGGATCGAACCCAGCGCCCCACACATGCTAGGCAAGCACGTTACCGCTTGAGCCACCTCCCCAGCCCAGTAATGCAGTATTTATTACACAGTAAATCCCTTTAAAAATAATTTATTAATTTTAATTAGGTATATATGACAGCAGAATGCATTTTGATTCACTGTACACAATTGCAGCACAACTTTTCATTTCAGTGATTGCACACGATGTAGCATCCCATCATACGTGCAGTCATACATGTACCTAGGGTAATGATGTCCTTCTCATTCCACAGTCTTTCCTGCCCCCATGCACCCTCCCCACCCTCCCTCCCCTTAGACCAATCATAGTTTTTCCATTTTCCCCATGCCTCCCCCACATGGTAAATTCTTACAGGTTCTAGAATCTGTTTCTGGGCTTTTCCCATTCCACTGAGCTATGCCACACTATTTTAAGTATACTATAATTTTATATGTTTAATAAATGAAGATCAAGAAAAACTACACTACTAATTTTTCAAAATTTCCTTTAATATTTTCAACTATTTATTCTTCCTGAACTTAGGAGGCCCACCTGTTAAGGTTTTTAATTGGAAAAGCAATGTCTCAGCTCTTAACTGGCAGAGTGAGAGAGATCACTTATCCACTTAGAGCCCTAGTTTCTTCATCTGTAAAATGGGAACAGGAGTGTTCTTTTAACTTCCCATGTGATTATGGGGATCAAATGCAGTGACTGTGAAAATATTTTGAAAAAGTAAAGGCTGAAAATACATGTTTTTCACAATTGAAGGCAATGACTGGAGTCTTTGAATTAGGTGAACGGTGGGGTTGCTTTTGTTCTGGAGGCTTTGGTATTGGACTCTGTCTTTTTCCCACAGAGCGATTTGACCATCACTGCCCCTGGGTGGGGAACTGTGTTGGAAAGAGGAACTACCGTTACTTCTACCTCTTCATCCTTTCTCTCTCCCTCCTCACAATTTATGTCTTCGCCTTCAACATCGTCTATGTGGCCCTCAGTGAGTATGCAGGGCAGTTACTGGAGTGGGGGTGGGGAGGGAGAAGAGGTGAAGACAGCTTTGGGGGGTGGTTGGGTTTCTGGTGGGACTTTTGCCATTATGAAGCACCTCAGGTCTGATTAGAAATGAGCACTACTGTTTGCCCTGGAGTCAGGCTGCTGAATTCAGCGCACATCAATAATTATTTACCAAGTGTTTCAGCCTTCTCTCTGACCCTGTGTTGAAGACCAGGGCCATAATTACTGGTCTATATCCAGAGTACTGGACATTTCGGGAGTGATCTCAAAGTTTGGGGACGTATTTTGGCTCACTGCATCCTTTTTCCCCCTTGTGCTAGGCAGCAGAATGGATTCTACCCAAGAAATGTCTTTTAGTAACTTGGGTTTCACTTTGGAGATAGAAAATACACACCCACATCATATACACACACCAACAATCTAAGGGCAAGTGGGATGTGGAGTTAAGGGAGTAAACTTGATCAAAACAACTTTTTGGAAAGATAGGAGCTTTGAGATGGATTTTGCACAAGGGAGGGACCTTGATAGGTGAGGAGAGAGGATTTTTCTTTTTTAAAAAAATTTTTTTAGTTGCCAATGGACCTTTATGTTGGTGTTGAGGATCGAACCTGGTGCCTCATACATGCTGGGCAAGTGCTCTGTCACTGAGCCACCACCCCAGCCCGAGAGAGGATTTTTCTTGACTATATCTGGTTTCTTTTATCTGTTAATATCTCCATACATGTCCATATTTGGGGGCTGGGAAAAGGGATGAAGCCTGATGGTTGGCTTCTGCCCAACTTTAGTCTGTGTCTGGCCCTGCATTGGAAATGTGAACTCCTCAGTCAAAAGAGTGCCAGCTTGGAAAGGAGACTCTTCACCCTTGCTTGAGTGTGAGCCACTCTTTTGCCAATGTGGAACATGGGATATGGAGGGAAGGAAATGAGTGGACACTAGGATACTTTGTCAGACTACTAAAGTCTCTAATTTTTCTGTCTACTCCTCCTCCCAATTTCACAGAATCCCTGAAAATTGGCTTCTTGGAGACGCTGAAAGAAACTCCTGGAACATATCCTCCCCTGGCAGTATGTCCCTGCGAAACCTTCTTAAACTACTTTCCAGCATGTCGTCTCCTGTCAGTTCTCCTACCATCTAGTTTTCAGACATTAGAGAGTGCCAAAGCCTAATTTTTTTTTTAAATAGTGTAGTCTTAGTGGTAGCAACCAGAATGGAATATGGCCAGGGCTCAAAGGGAGGTCTTTCCCTTATCCCCTTGCCATCTGCCTCTTTCCCAACTCCTTTTCCCAGACATGACCTCTTTCCTTTAGTGGGTTGTACTTGCCTCAATATCTTATTGTAATTGCCTCAATATCTTACTGGAAGTCCCATCTTCCTGTTGTAATCAAAACTTCTTTTGTACAGTAACTATGTTTCTGAAAAGGAGATGTAGATTTCTATAAATCACATGTTGTTTCTTTCCCATTAATGTTTCACTTAAAAAGCTTATATTTTGATGAGATTTGCACTACCAGCGATGGCCAATATTGTTTTTTTTTTTTAAAGAGAGAGTGAGAGAGGAGAGAGAGAGAGAGAGAGAGAGAGAGAGAGAGAGAGAGAGAGAGAGAGAGAGAGAGAGAGAGAGAGAATTTTTAATATTTACTTTTTTTTAGTTCTCGGTGGACACAACATCTTTGTTGGTATGTGGTGCTGAGGATCGAACCCGGGCCGCACGCATGCCAGGCGAGCGCGCTACCGCTTGAGCCACATCCCCAGCCCCGGCCAATATTGTTTAGCCTTGGCCCTCTCCAAAGAGTGAAAGACAAAAAAAACAGGCAAACACTTAAATACACTAGTGATGGTAGAGATTTGTTCAGTAGGGAATGAAGGGAAATCTTTTACCTTATAGAATTCATCTGGATATTTGGCTTTTTGTGACATTTGTTCTAAGAGGTAAAGATGGTGTGACTGGTACCATAAATATGACCTGGGATATCAACTTCCCTGGTGTGACTTCTTCAACATTCCTTAACCTAACATCACTGTTCTAGAAGTCCTCATTTGCTTCTTCACACTCTGGTCCGTCGTGGGACTGACTGGATTTCACACTTTCCTCGTGGCTCTCAATCAGACAACCAATGAAGACGTGAGTCAATTTTTTTTTTCTCCTCATCAGATATTCTCATTCTCCCAAAAGCCTATTCTCATTTTACTTGCTAGAGAACCAGTCTCTAGGGCCTAGAAGATTGAGGTGAGCGGAAATCTGGTGTAGAAGATCCTTAAATCAGATATGTGGAAGGCAGACTGCTTTCTTTGGCGCTGAATGCCTGTAGGGCATTAGGAAGAAGAGGTCAAAGAGTTGGGTGGGTGTAAGGTCTTTAACTATTCATAGGTCCTTAAAAGTTAGCCAGATGCCTCTGGATTTGGAGTGGAAAGGGGCAATACCACTGAATAAATTCTTGCTTTAAAAAAGGTGCCAGTTAGTCCACATTCATTGTAGAAAATCAGAAAATACAGATGAGCAGAAAGGAGAAAATGAATCCCTGTAATTTTACCTTCTGTCATTTTCCTAATGTCATGATTTATAGTCTTCCAAACTTGTCTGGACTTATTCTCATGTTTGTTTATGCATACATTATGTATTTTTCAATAAAATAATTTATCTGCTTTTTTCCTCTTTTATGAACATTTTCATGTCTCTATACAGTGTATTTCTTTTTTATTGTGATAAAATATACTCAAGATATGCCATCTTCACCATTTAAAAAATTTTTTTTAGTTGTAGATGGACATAATACCTTTATTTATTTTTATGTGGCACTGAGGATCAAACCCAGTGCCTTCCAAATTTGAGGTGAGTGCTCAACCACTGAACTACAACCCCAGCCCCATCTTCACCATTTTTAAATGTACAGTTCAGGGGCATTGAGTATATTCACATCCTTGTACAACTGCTGCCTCCATCCACCTCTTGAACTTTCTCATCATACCATGCCACATGTATTTCTTCAGCATAGTTTTTAATGAAAGCCTTGGCTTTTATTTTGTAGATCAAAGGATCATGGACAGGGAAGAATCGTGTCCAGAATCCCTACAGCCATGGCAACATTGTGAAGAACTGCTGTGAAGTCCTGTGTGGCCCCTTGCCTCCCAGGTACTCGAGACTAAAATGTCCTGAGATTCTTGGGATGAGCAATGTAACCTTATTCTGTTACCTGGTCCAGTGCATTCTTCTGCATGTGAACTCTCAGTGTCAAATAGGTCTGGTGCCATATCTACATGGAACATAGACCATGGGCTGGCTATTTTGAAGAGATCATATTTTATTGTCATTTCATTTGTTTGTTCCTTATTTATTATGGCATTCACTGGTTTGTGAAAAAAAAAACAAATGAATGGGAGATAGCAGGTGTGTTCTTGGATCAGGCTAAATTGCCAAAGGACAGATTTATATTTCCTATATACACAATGGGGTTCAGTGGCCTGGGTGGGTGGAGGAGAGAATGCCAAGTCCTTGATTAACTCTCGTCTCCTTCAGTGTGCTGGATCGAAGGGGTATTTTGCCACTGGAGGAAAGTGGAAGTCGACCTCCCAGTACTCAAGAGACCAATAGCAGCCTCTTGCCACAGAGCCCAGTAAGTGTTCCTGATTTATGGTTGAGTCTGTGATAGAAAGCATGTAGACTAACTTTATAGCTTAGAGATACAATTAGGCAATTTCATATCCGTATCTCTCCAGCAACCCTGTCTCTGCTTCTGCTTGACATTGCCTCTAGCTCTTTGTGCCCTTGAGGAAGATTAAGGTTTATTCATTTCTTTGACATATATTGAGCAACTAATGTGTGCCAGCTACTATGCTAGGTACTGGGGACACACCAGTAAACAAGGCAAATTATGTCCCTACTTTCAAGGAGCTCATTGTCTGTGGGGGCCAAGGGATAACAAAAAAGGTCATTGCTCAATGTTGTGAAACATACCTTAATGAAGGAAGCATAAAATGTTACAGAAGCAAAGGTGGGGTCAGGGGGCTATGTTAGAGTTGGTGATGTGCTTACCTTGGTAGGAGGGCACTTCATTGCTGGAATATGTAGATGTGGAAAGTGTCCCAGCAGTCCTGCTCAGTATATATTTCATAAAATATCCTAAAAAGTTATTATTTGAACTTTGTTTTTAATGTTTTATTAGTGCATTATAGTTATACAGTGGTGGGGCTCATTGTAACGTATTCATATATGCACATAACATAATTTGCTCCAATACATTCTCAGGTACTTCACTTTTCCCTCCCTTCTTCCTTCCTCCTGTTCCCTTTTTTTCCACTCTTCTGGTCTTCCTTCCATTTATTTATGTAATGTTTATATATATTTAAGAGCTTTATTGAGATATGATTGACCTACCATATAATCTCTATTTAAAATGTACAGTTCCCTGGTATTATATAATCAGAGTTGTGTGATCCTTGAAACAATTAATTTAAAAGCATTTTATTAAACTACCTGTCAAAAAACTTTGTATTATTAGCTGCCACTCTCTCTTTCCTCCCGACTCCTTTAGCCCCCTCCCAAGACAGCCACTGAAATCTACTTTCTTTTGCTTTAGATTTACCTATTCTGTACATTTTGCATAATTGGAATTCCACAATATATGGTACTTTGTGACTGGATTCTTTTACTTAATGCAGTATTTTTAAGATTCACTCATTGCAGCAGAAAGCAGTACTTCATTCCTTTATATAGCTTAATAATATTTCATTATTTAGCTGTACCATATTTTATTTGTCCATTCATTAGTTGATGTACTTTTGGGCTGTTTCTACCATTTGTTTATTGTAAGTAATGCTGTTGTGAACATTTGTACAATTTTATACAATATTTTTGTATGAATGCAAACTTTCATTTCTTTTGATGGGGAATGAAATTACTGGTGAATATAGTAATTCTGTGTTTAACCTTTTGAGAAATTGCTGCATTGTTTTCCAAAGTGGGTATGCCATTTTACATCCCCACTAGCAGTGTATAAGTATTTCAGTTTTTCTATATCCTTGGTAACCTTTATTATCTGATGTTTGGATTTTAGTCATCTTAGTGGGTGTGGAGAGGTATCTCATTGTGGTTTTCATTTGTGTTTCCATAATGACTAATGATGTTGTGTGTCTTTCCATTGTAGGTATTGGCTATTTGTATATCTTTGGAGAAGAGTCTATTTTTAAGCTTTGTCCATTTTTAAAATTGAATTATTTGTGGTTTTTTTTATTGCGTTATAAGAGTTCTTTATATGATCTGTATACAAGTCCCTTTGAGATATATGATTTGCAAATATCTCCCATTCTGTGGGTTGTCTTTTCACTTGCTTGATGATGTGTCACCTTTAAAGCACAAAAGTTTTAACTTTTGATATAGTCCAGTTTATCTTTTCTGTTGTTGTTGCTTGTGTTTTTGGTGACATATCTAAGAAACCTTCGCCTAATCCAAGGTCATGAAGATTTATGCCTGATTTCCTGTAAGAGTTTTATAGTTTTTGGCTCTTAGCATTTTAGCTCTTTGATCCATTTTGAGTTAATTTTTATATATGGTGTGAGGTAGGGGTCTGCATTCTTTCTTTTGCCTATGGATATTCAGTTATCTTTGTATCAGTTGTTGGAAAGACTATTCTTTTTTCTATAGACTTATCGTTACCCTTGTTGAAAAGCATTTAACTTTAAATGTTAGAGTTTGTTTCTGAACTTTCAATTCTATTCTGTTGATCAATATGTCTTTTCTTATGCCTAAACCACACTGTCTTGGTTACTCTAGCATTGTAGTATGTTTTGAGATTAGGAAATATGAGTCCTTCAACTATATTATTCTTTTTCATGATGGCTTTGACTATTCTAGGTCCTTTGAATTTCCATATGAGTCATAGGATCAGCTTATCAATTTCTGCAAAGAAGTCAGTTGACATTTTAATAGGGATTGCATTGAATCTATAGGTCAATTTGGGGAATATTGCCATCTTAACAAGATTAAGTTTTCTGAGTTACTAACATGAGTTATCTTTTTGTTTGTTTAGGTTTTTTATTTCTTTCAATAATATTTCATAGTTTTCAGAGTTGAAAACTTATTCTTTTTTATATATATTTTTAGTTGTCAATAGACCTTTATTTTATTTACTTATATGTGGCACTGAGAATCAAACCCAGGGCCTCACACGTGCTAGGCAAGCACTGTACCACTGAGTCACAACTGCAGCCCCGAACACTTATTTTTTTTAAGATTTTTATTTTATTCTTTATTTTAATAATACTGGGGATTAAATAAAGGGGAACTATACTACTGAGCTACATCCCCAGTCCTTTTAATTATTTCTTTAAAATTTTCAGATAGAGCCTTCCTAAATTGTTGAGGCTAGCCTTGAAGTTATGATCTTCTTGCCTCAGCCTCCCTAGTTGCTGAGATTACAGGCTTATGCCACCATATTTGGCTAAATTTTACACTTCTTTTGCTACATTTGTTTATAAGTATTTTATTCCTTTTGATGTTACTATAAATTAAATTGTTTTCCTAATTTTCTTCCTGGAATTTTTCATTGGGAGTATATTGGGAGTACACAAATTGATCTTTGTATATTATTATTGTATCCTGAAATCTTGCTGAAATTATTTATTAGTTCTAATAGATTTCTAGTCAATTTAGACTTTATTTTAAAATAGCATCCTATTTTAATTTGAATAGATTTTGTAAAGTAAGTCATTGTTCTCTACTTTGTCTTTCATTTTAATGTACAGCATACTGATATTTATGTATTAGTGTCATCATTTTGAATATCATTTTTCTGATGAGTGTGGTCCCAAACCATAGCAATTTAAGTTGGTGACTTTCAGTTGAATGTGGGTGAAATGTAGTATTTTAGAATAATTAGGGGACATTTTTAAACCATATGTGATCATCTGAAACCCCACCTTCTTTGATTTGGAGTCAGTATTCTAGTGAGTTCTGTGTAAGGGCAGAAACAGGGTTGAGAACCATTGGGTCAGCACTTTTTGGTCAAGTACATTATAACGTTCTGTTGTGAAAGGGGCCATCTAATTATTTGTGGTCCTTATCATTATTATTATCACAAATATTAATGGAAGCATCTGTCCACAATAGCCAGTTGAGGAGAGAACTTAAGTAAGCTTCAGTTGAATCTGCTGAAAATGTGTAGCCTGTTCTTGGGCTGAGTTTAGTGATGGTGGCTGCATATCTGTAGCATCAGTGTGGTGGAGAGCTTTTGAGGAAGAGATCAGGGTCTGGATTATCTGCATTTGGATTTTGAGAGAGAGCCTTGTGTTGAATCTGATATCTTTTCCCTTTCAGGCCCCAACAGAACACCTGAACTCCAATGAGATGCCGGAGGACAACAGCACTCCGGAAGAGATGCCACCTCCAGAGCCCCCAGAGCCACCACAGGATGCAACTGAAGCTGAGAAGTAGCCTATCTGTGGAAGAGACTTTTGTTTGTGTTTAATTAGGGCTATGAGAGATTTCAGGGGAGAAGATATACCCGAGACAGAGAGCAAGTAAGCTGTCCCTTTTACTGTTTTCCTTTGGTCTTTAGATACCCAATTGCACACTGGCATTTTCTTGCTGCAAGCTTTTTTTTTTTTATTTCTGGACTCAAGGCAGTGGCAGAAGATGTCAGTCACCTCTGGCAACTGGACAAATGGGTCTTTTGGACCTTGGCACTTATTTCCCATGGCCCTAGCCATGGGGTCTCCTTGGACTCCTCTCCCCACCAGATCCCAGCTCTCCTGCTTGGGGTCATTGGTCTCATTATGGGGCTAACGATTCTTGAGACTGGCTCAAGTCCTCAAGCTGCTGCATGTCCTGAGTCCAGAAGCAGACACAGAAACCTCTGGCCAGGGAATCCTAACTGGGTTCTTCTCCTTCAGAATTGATAAGGATGAAGAGTGAGGTTGGAGGATTCTCCTGGCTACAAAGTGCCAGCATTGCCAGCCAATCCTTTTAGGAATGGGGCAGGTACCTTCCTCTTGTATTTATTCATGTAGCTTTTCTCCTTTGTCCCCCATCCACTCTCTAACACCCATGTCCCACTCTTTCCCCATTAGATATATGTAAGTAGTTTTAGTAGAGCTAACAATTTACATTTCTCGTAGATTCTCCAGGAACTTTTAATACCTGTGCTATTCTCAATAAGAATTGACAAGATGCCAATGGCATAGCCCCTCACACTCTCTGCCTCATCTCTCCTCCTTTCTCATTAGCCCATTTAAATTTTTTTTTTCTTTTTACTCTTGCTCCCAATAGGAGCAGGAACAGCAGTAATAAAAGTCTACACTTTGGTGATTCCTTTTCCTCAGAGGAAACCCAAGTGCTCACTTAAACACTACCCCCTCAGATTCCCTGTGTGAGGCCTACAGAGGCCCTGAATGCACAAATGGGGAAATCAAGGCACAGAGAGGCTCTCCTCTCCTCTCCTCTCCCTCTATGTCCCCTTAAAAAAAAAGAAAAAAAAAAAAGGAAAAAGAAAAAAAAAAGAGAAAAAAAAAAAGGCTAACCAGTACTTCCATTAAGCCTTGGCTGAGTGAGGGAAAGCCCAGAACTGCTGCCCTCCCGGGTAACCCACTCCAAGGCCTCAGCCCACCTTGGGCAATGGTAACCACACCAGGGGCTTCCTCCAAGCCCCACTCTTCCAGCACTTCCACTGGCAGAGTCCCAGAGCCACTTCACCCTGGGGGTGGGCTGTGGCCCCCAGTAAGCTCTGCTCAGGACCTGCACTATTTCAGGGAAGAAGATTTATGTATTATATGTGGCTATATTTCCTAAAGCACCTGTGTTTTTCTCTTTCTAAGCCAGGGTCCTGTCTGGATGATTTATGGGGATGGGGGGAGTGTAAACCAGAACTTTTAATCTATTTGAAGGCGATTAAACTGTGTCTAATGCAAACTGCCTGCCTCTTCCTTCCCCTTCCATTTCAAGAACCACCATGGGGATGTGAATGTGTTTGTGTGTTGGGTGGGGGGTGGGGGTTGGAAGGGTTGCTTGTTACTACCCATACTTCCATTTTCCAGGGTACCCTTGGGTTGGAGAGATAGCTCCCAAACTCAAACTCTCCATTGATCTCTACTACCTTCTGGGCCGAAGTTTATCTCACTCTGGACTATGACAAAAGGACTTCTAAGCAATATACAGTGTGAACAAGATTAGGATGGTTGAGAAATTATCCTTAAGAGAAAAAGTTCTTCATTAGGATATTGTTTGCAAGCATATGGGCACTATTTATTGCAAATGAGTCTTGGTTATTAAAACAGGCTCACCAGGGCCTTCCCTTGGAAATATTTCATTTTAGTGGTCTTTTACAAGTGATGGTATATATTTTTTTTCAAATAGTCTGTAATCAAGACTCCTTACTGATTTCTAGCTCACTCTTCCCAGTTAATCGGAATTAGTGAAATTTGGCTGCTCCCAGATTTTTCTCTGTGTCTCCCTATTTTCCTTGTAGCAAGATTTGAATTTAGCATGAGAGAGAGATGGGAGAGAGATTAATTCATATCCCTCTCCTATTTGCTTCTATTTTACCATTCTTTTTCTGGCTCTCTCAATTTTATTTTTTTCAGTTAGGTTTTAGTTATTTTAAAATAAGGCCAAGCTTGGAGAGTTTGGAAATTATCATTTTTTTTTCCAGTCAAGCTGTCATTCATGTGAACTCTTTCTAGTCAGTACTCAGCCCATCCTGTCTCAGCCTGTCTCCTCTCTTGGGCCAGGATGGATCTCTCTCCTCCCTCAACTTACCTCAGCCACTTTCCTGCTGACCCTTAGGTCACTCAGAGAAGTTTTTCTTTCTGATGTGAAGGGTCAAGTGGAAATGTCTTATCTGTAGTGTGAAATGATTTTTTAAAATGTTTCTGTTTTTTCATATGCCCAGCCCACTTTCTTTTCCTTTATAAATCTATATTTAAGACCTTGGCCTCAAGATCTTTCCCATTTATACCATGCACCAGCCAAGACTGTCCCTAGTCTGAGCTCTGATCAGAGGAGAGATTGAAGGATTGATCTTACCCTGGAGAAAGGGGCCTTATATTATTTGATCTTTTCGATGGTTGACACTCTCTCCAACTCCCCCTTTCCTTCCCATTCCTCATGCTTCCTATGCACCCTACTTCCCCAGGCCAGGAGGGTTGGCACTGATCCAAAAACCTCTGGGGGTGGGGTGGAACTTATGTCCATTTGACTCTGGAGCCCTCCTGGCCCTGGCTGAGATCATCATCTCCCCGTTCACATTTTTCCCCAGGAGTGGGGTTGGGTTAGAGGTGGGTTCTAATTCTATAGCAGCTAGATTCCATTCTTCCCATCCTGACCATCCTGCCTTTACTCCTAATACCCCTTTTCCTACTGACCAAATCTCTTTACTTTGTTGGGGAAAAGAAGTATTTTGTTTTTAAATCTATTTTCTAACTTAAATGCAATTTAATATGTAAATCTCTGCACTTTTGTGTGAGCCTACAAATGTGTATGTGTTGGGGGTTTTTCACTCTCTGGTATTTCTTAATAAAGAAATCTTTCTTTTGGGGGGAAGCCAATTAATGAAGGAGACTTGAATGGTCTTAGAAATACAGGGCTGTCTGTTTCTTTGTGCTTTTGCCTCATTTCTTTACTTGTGTCTAGTGTGAGTGATCGGGACCCTCTCCCCCACTTTTTGACCCCCTTCCTTTGAGAGGGCCCTCAACTTAGTGGGCCAGAGAGGAACCTGGCCTGTGTCTGATACCCCTCTGGGACCACTTGGATTGGTTCAAGTGGTAACCTAGCAACTGAGATCCCCCACTCCCCATGTTCTGGCCCTGTTAGTCCTTTTCTTCCAGCTCAGTTCATTTTATACTCCTGAGGCTGAGGCCAGCCTAGGGAAAATCACTCAGGGATCACAGTAAGTGGTTTTTAAAAAGTGATAATTTGTTCTCATGACTTGGTACTACTAAAGGAAAGTCTTATTCTCAATAATTCAAAAGGCATTTGTGTCACTTTTGAGAATACATTCTAGGAACTTCTTGCTGTTGTTAGGTGACAGGTTTTAGAAATAGTCTCAAAGGCTCAAACTTTGAATATCATTAGTTTTAAAGGATGTGAGCCCAACTCAGAGAGAGAGCGTATTTGACTCTTTGTGGGTTTCTTGTTTTGGATAAATATGAAAGGGGAATGGGAGATATAAATCTGCATCTGTAAAACTTTCAAATGTCCTACAAAGCATATAGGTGGAAAAAACTGGAATGACTACCTGAGCTTAATTATTTCACAAATAAACACAAAATTCATATATATAAGAATTTCCAGGAATGCAAACTTATAAATTGGGGGAAGATGGTATTTTACTTTGTTCAAAACTTTACTATGAGTTATTCATGACTTTCAAAAACCATGCCACTATAAGTAGTGCCATTCATGGGTATTTAAGTTGCCAGCACAGCCTATCTGAATGATCCTACATTTGTAGCACCTGTGTTCAACAGGGATTCTACAGATAGATGGGAGAATTTCACACTTTATTGTATGTTTTAGTGTAGTCTTGCCTAGGTATTTATATATTAAAATACATATAATCTTACTATAAATTACTTTCTTAGTACAGTCAACCCTGTATATCTGTGGGTTCTACATCCATAGATTAAATTAACTAACCTTGGATGGAAAATATTCAAACATTTTTTTTCATATCATTAGTCCCTAAACAATACAACAATGATTTGTGTAGCATTTACATTGTATTAGGTAACAGAAGTAATCTAGCTATGATTTAAAGCATACCAGGAGTATGTGGATAATTAATTCCTATACAAATACTATTCCATATGCCAGCATCTATAGATTTTGGTATTCTTGGGATGTGGAAGGAACAATGGGGCCAATTGTCCTAACTATACATTACATTGGTATTTTTTAAATTATAAGTATAATCAGATTATATTAACAATGAAGTTCATTTTGGGCTGGGGTAAAAGGTGCTTTAAAATACTATTAACTAGCAAGGAAGCATTGGACTGCTAGGATTGAGAACCATTGGACCAGATTATCTTTTTTTTTTAAGTGGTGCTGGAAATCAAACCCAGGGCATGGTGCATGCTAGGCAAGCAATCTACCAGTGACTTATGCTGCCAGCCCTCAGAGATTCCTTTCTCACTCAAAATATTTATAAAGACCAAGCAGAAAATAAATGAACATGTCTCTCACCTCACACCTTTAATATGCTTTAAAAATTTTTAAAGTAATATATGCTCATTGTTGAACATTGGAAAAGTACAGGAAAAGTAAGAATATATTTTTTAAAAATCATCTATAAACTTATCACCAAGATATAGTAATCACTGTTATGCTTTGGTTGTTTCTTTCTAGTCTTTTTGGCATGTAATCATTTAAACATAACTGGAATTCAACTATAAAATATAGTTTTATAAATCTGCTTTTTTGCTTAGTATTTTCCATATCATTATTTGAAAATATTTCTTAATGACTCCACAAAACAGTCATAACCTTCCCCCTGGAATCTGATATTAAGGAGTTTCCAGTTTTTCATTATTATAAGTAATATTGTGAGAACTTCCTTAGATGTGGACATATCTGTGATTATTTCCTTAGGATAGATTACTAGAAGTGGAATTATTGTGTCAAAGAGAATGCTATTTTAAATAAATAAAAATGCTATTTTAATGCTCTTGGTAAATATGGTCAAATTGCTTTACAGAAAGGCTGTCGCAGTTTGTTCTGCCTGCAGTGTATCAGAGAACCTGCTTCAGTCCATCTCATGCAAATATTTGGTACAGTAATTTGATAGCTGTAAACATATCTTAGTGCCATGTAGTTTATATATCTTTGATTAATCATGAAATTACACATTTTCTGCCCCTCTTCTCTGCCCTATATTACAATTTTTATTTCTTCTATGAATTGTCTGTCCAAGACCTTTGAATATTTTTCTTCTGATATTAGGTGGTTTTTAATCCATTAATAAATTAGAACTTAGAGCTCACATTCCACCATGGGCCAGGAAATGAGGGGACCCTTAATTTAGAAGTGGTTTTACAACTTTATAACATGGAGTGGAATCATCTTCTTCACATTCCATTCCCCTTTGCTTTCTTTAAACCCTCATTTTCCACCGTCTTTTCAGCCAGTTATTGCCTATCTCTTTGGCTATATATCTACAGCTATTTGGCTGTTGTAACTTGGCTGAAAGAATTAGAGTTTTGTGTCCAAATAAGAGACATGATGGTTATTTGTCATAAAATATAGGTTATGTTGAACAACAAAGCTGAAGGGAATGTATCAATCATATAATCCATATAGTCATTTGTGCTCACATGTCTGTGTTCTTTCCAAATTAAGTACAATGACTTATCCAAGGTCACATAAAGAATTACTGGTACAGCCAAGACCAAAATGAAGATGCACTTACTTCCAGTTTAGAGAGCTCTCCAGTATTACCCATTGCCCCTCTTCCAAGCAGGTATAGACAAAGGAAGGAGTTTGAATAACTGCAAATGTCATTTTTCATCTTAATGGAAGGATCCTTTTCTTTATTTCATATTCAATAAATACTTGTTGAATGTTGACCATGTGCTAGTATTAACTTTAGGAGAAATTGCATTGCTGACCATGCTATCTTGTAAGTAAGTTGAGGAACGACAATGATTTTAGGATTGTTTGCCATTTTAGATTAATATATCTGTTGATGTCCATTTTAGGCATGCAGAAGGCTGACTATATATAGTAGGGCTGACATGGGGGTGGTTGTTGGGTTTTTGTTTTAAATGTAAATCTCTTTCCAGAACCCTGCACTTGTATTGAACTGATGGTGGGATTTCTTTAGCACAGAAAGTCAGGAAGTTGCTTTGCCAGGTTCCCACAGTCAAGTTGGCTGTCCCTTTGTGAGGGCCATTGCCCTGGGCTCTTTTTAACTTTCTGACGCTATCCCAGGCAGGTCCCAGAGGCAATGGTATACAAATGCTATATTGGTCACTGTGAAGTTATAGGAAAAGGTGAAGCCTACATATCAAGTACTATAGAATTCCATTTATTTAGGTCCTTCCTGGAGGAGGAGTCTTGGCTGGGACTAGAGGGGAGGCAGTTCCTTCCCACTTGATTGTGTTGTTGGCTGAATAATATGTAAGGTGGCCACTGTTGTGTGAGAAGCAAAGGGAGCTTCTATTGTGAAGGAAGGAGGGCTGGGAGAGCCCTTCTTTTCCCAGCTGGGAAACCTCATACTTCATCCTGAATTTCCTGACTTGGAAGGGGGAAGGTGTTGGGCCCTTTTGGGACTATGAGGGTCAGTGTGGGTTTTTTTCCCCCTGACAAACAACAGTCGTTAGCTTTTGTTTTAATGCCTTTGGTCACCGATAGCCCAACTGTAGCCTCCACTTCTGTGAGAAGCCTGAGTAGGAAGCTCCATGAGTGAGAAGTTGGATGGCCACAGGCAGGGGCTGGAGCCTCAGTGCCATGTATCAGATCACATAGCCATGGCAGTGGGGGTATAAGGAGAGGGAAGGGGTGGAAGGAGAGGGAATGCGTGGAGGGAACCTGCCTGGGATGGTCTATGGTAATGTTATGGGAGGGGAGCGAGTTTGGCTGGGATATGCCATTACTCCAAGCTGCTTTCCCTGATGGGAAGGAGGGGGTGAAAATGGCTCTCACTCTGAACTGGGGATGAGCCGGTTGAATCCTAATTCTTCTTGAATCGAGCCTGTTTCCTCTTCCTTCTAGCAGAAAGAAGTCCAAGGGGAGTTGCCTAATGGGAGTCTAATGCCCATCCTACTAGGAACTGGGTAGAGCCAGGGCTGTCCCAGGTCTTTAGGTCAGCTTTCTCTCCATCACTAGCCTCTCTGAGCACCAGAGGTGGCACTCTCTATCAGCCCTTCAACAATTCCCACACCATCTAGGGGCTTGGATATTGGTTTGTCTTTGGGCTATGTCAGGTCCTAATGTCAGTCAGTATGCAGACAAGCACATATTGAGACCACCTGTGTGCCCAGCATTGAGCACAGTAGCCTGGAGGTTACAGAAAGGTCAAATAGCAGCTGCTTATTGCCACTGTATGCTAGAAACTTAATATACACTATCTCATTTATTTCTCTAACAACCCCAAGAGGTAGATATTGTTAGATCACAGTAGTTTACAGAAAAGAAATGTGTATGCATGTAACCTAGCCTGAAGTCATGTGATTAGTAAGTGGTGGAGCCAGAATTTGAAAACATTTCAACTCCAAAGCCTTTGTTCCTGGTCACTGTACTAACTAGTGATCAGAAGTGAGATGTTTTGAAGGGAGTGAAATGGAGGGTGGTGCAAATTGAAGTATAAGACATTGCCATTCATTGGGAATTTGTGCTGGACACTGTGCTAAGTATAGGCGTTAGTAATTCTTCATAATATCTCTGGGGACCAGTACTATTATCCCCTTTTAATTGATGTGGAAATTGAGATTTAAGGAGTTCAGTGACTTGTCCAAGGTGACTCAGCTAGAGGTGTTACAGTGAGGACTTGAACTCAGATTGTCCTGAGCTCCTGAATGCTATGCCTCACCTGCCCTAGAGGAGATTCTACTCACTAGAAGAAGAGTTTCAGGCTGATCTGTAGCCCTGCTCAGCAGTGCCTTTCTTGCCCCTGAGGTTCTGGCCTGGTGCCTGCATTTCCTTGAAGCCCCTCCTCACCTGCCCCTCTCAAACTCCTGTGAGCACTGGAGCCCTTGTATTGCTAACTACCTGAAGCCTGTAATTACCCTCTAGGCCAAATTGAGCCCTATAGCTAGAGACATCCTCCTACTTCCCAACCCCCTCCCTAGGACTTGGGAGGAGTTCAAAACACCATTTTCTCAGGCATTTCTCTTTTCCTAATATTTTACTTTCCTCAGTTTAGATAGACATTACCCACATATTTTTTTCCAGTGGTGTTGGGGACCAAATCCAGGGCCTTGTGCATGCTAGGCAAGTACTTTACTACCGAGTATACCCCTAGCCCTACTCAGGAGTTTTAAAAGGTCAAAGAATCTTCTCTAATAGGTGCCCTTTGAGGTGTATGGATTTTAAAGCACTTGGGCATTATTAAATCCTACTTCCCCATCTTTCCAGAATCCCTTGCTACAACCGTAGATTAGAGACCAGAGGTTTTGGCCCTATTTGTTTGTTAGCTTTAGTTTTTCAAAGATTGTTCCGTTTTTTCTGAACTGGGGATAGATAACAAAAGTAACAGATATTTTTGAATCAGATATTGTTTCATCCTAATGAAACATGAATGTAGAAAGTGAACACTTCTAGCTCTCACTGCCAAAGTCCTACCTACTCCCCTCAAAACACCACCACCTGGGGCTGGGGATGTGGCTCAAGTGGTAGTGCACTCGCCTGGCATGCGTGCAGACTGGGTTTGATCCTCAGCACTACATACAAACAAAGATGTTGTGTCTGCTGAAAACTAAAAAATAAATATTAAAAAAATTCTCTCTCTTAAAAAAAAAAAACACCACCACCTATAACCATTTGGTGTGCATCTTTCCACTGTATTCTCCATGTACATTTTCCTTTTCTTGGATAGAAACAGAATCACCCTATAAAAATGCCTAAGTACTTGCTTTTCCTCTTGATATTATATGAACTTCTTTTATAACAAAATGTTTGTACATTATTTATATAATTTTAAAATTTAAGAGTAAAAATATCATGAAGACTTGTCCCCATCATTAGTTTTCCACAATATTGTGTTTAATGGTTGCCTCGTATTCCCGTGCACCATAATGTATCTACCTAATTCACCATTTATGTTGTTTCCAATTTCCTACTGTTACAGAGAGAGCTGTCATTAACATCTCTGTCCATATATCTTTGTAAACTTGCGTGGCTCTTGCTAACAGACAAATCTTGGAAGGGAAAAGGCTGTCAAAGGGTCAAATTGCCTTGAGAAGTGCCCACAGATTTTGAAAAGCTCATTGGATAAGGTCTTTCAGAAGCCATGTAGTATAGGGGTTAAGATTATGGGCTCTGGGGCTGAGGTTGTGGCTCAGCAGTAGAGCATTTGCCTAGCATGTGCAGGGCCCTGGGTTCGATCCTCAGCACTACATAAAAATAAATGAACAAAATAAAGGTATTTGTCCATCTACAACTAAAAAAAAAATAAAATAATATGGGCTGGGAAGTCAGGCAGACTCCTTGCTCTCATCACTTCCTAGTCTACCTCTTCAACTTCTCAGAGCCTCAGTTTCCTCCTATGTAAATTGGAATGAGGATGGTATCTAACTCAGAGGGACACTGAGGATTATATGAGATAATATATGTAAAGTGCTCAGTGCCAGCACTCACAAAAGTCAGCAATTATTCAGTCCCCTTGGGACTTTGAAGCAATTATCCAGTCCCCTTAGGGCTCTTGTTTCTTGAGTGAAAATAATGCTTGCAGTTTCCTGATGCTCACAGTCACTATCCACAGTGGGATGAGTGCTGCTGAGAACAGTCTGGAAGCAGCATGATCTTGTTCTAACTCTGGTGATGGTTTTCATTCTAGTGTATTCTTCCTAATGCAGTTAATGCTGCAGAAGCAGAGAGGAAGCCAGAGGTCTCTGATTCCATCCCACCTCCCAGGAGATGGTGTAGTGTAGTGGGCCCAGGTTAGGTCCCAGGAAGAGTGCTTCAAGAGGAAAGGTCCTGCTGATGTTACTCTCCCTAACTTGTACCCTGGACAGCCCCCCAATGTAGGCCCTTCTTCGCAGGGGTGAAGATCTTTAAGGGCTTTGTTTAAATGAGCTGTTATATGAAGAAGGAAATAATTTCCTCTCTGACTACTCTCAGACCCCAGTAAGGCCTGTGGCCATAGGATCCTGAGCCCTGTTCTGAGGAGGGAAGTACAGAGCCAGCTAGGCTTTGGATGGAGCTTTAGGTTAGCAGAGTCAAGGGCACTGGGCATCCTCATGGAGGGGAAAGATGACCCTGAAAGGACCACAGAGGTACACTTTGTTGAGACTAGCTTTGAAAGAGACTGGTCTACCCTCCCAACAATCCTCTCTCCATAAGAAAGACAAGAGGAGACAGTAATTTAGTTTGACCGACATTTATTGCTACCAAATTGCTTCTGTCTATCCCCTCAAATCTATACATAACCCCTTCCCCAAAGCTAACTTTTGCCAAAGTTCCTGGAAGTAGGTCAAGAAATGCGTCCACCAAGTAGGCAGTCCTAGATGTAATGGGCACCGTTTGACTTGCACCAGGAATGGGCTATTCTGTGAGACTCAAGGCATAGACTTGCTACTGGGGACAAGGGAGGTCCCCAACAACATACTTTTATCACTTTCTGGGGCTCAGAGAACACCAAAATCATTAGTGAAGCAATGTAGGGACAGTGGACTTCCTGGTGTCAAGCTTAGTGCTTTCTTTGCTTGGAAGGACCCATACAAGTGGCCAAGTCTGGACCCAGACCTGCACTGGCTGCTGCTTCTTTTTCTTTTTCTTTCTTTTTTTCTTGGTGCTGGAAAGTGAGCCCATGGGCTCTCTACCACTGAGCTACATTCTCAGCGCTTTTTATTTTTTATTTTGAGACAGGGTCTAGCTAAGTTTCCTAGACTGACCTCAAATTTGTGATCCTCCTGCCTCAGCCTCTTGAGTTGCTGGGACTACAGGTGTGTACACCCAGTTTTGCATCTGGCTTCTGAGGGGCAGTTTTGCCCTTGGAAGTCAGGTATGACCACCTGCCATCAGCCTTGTGGGAAATCTATTTGAGGAGGTCAGGAACAGAAGGGGGACACATACTGTATGAGGTATGGACTAAGCTGGAGGAAGTTGAAGCTTAGCCTGAGTCCCATGGGAAGGTATAAAGTGGATGAGTAGGAGATTTCATTTGAAAGCCCCAGGACCCCTCCAACCCCCTTGGTAAGCTCCACTGTGTCCTGGGCCACAGGTAGCAGGAGAGCAGATATTTAAAGTCACTGAATGTCAGAGTTTTTAAGGCCCTCAGTGACTACTCATTCTAACCCTGATCAATTCTAAGCTTGGAGAGAGGAGGCACTTGGTTCAAGACTCATAGTGATTTGGGTCTGCTTTTTCTTCTATAAGGCTCAGGGTCTCTGTTCTAATGTCTAAGTCCTTGATCCACTTTTAGTTGAGTTTTGTGCAGGGTGAGAGATAGGGATTTAATTTCATTTTGCTACATATGGATTTCTAGTTTTCCCAGAACCATTGTTGAAGAGGCTATCTTTCCTCCAGTGTATGTTTGTGGTGCCTTTGTCTAGTAAGTGAAATAAGCCAATCCCCCCCCCCAAAACAAAGGCCAAGTGTTTTCTCTGATATGTGATGCTAATTCACAATAAGGGGGTGGGGTGGGGAGGGGAAGAATACAAGTTCATTGGACTAGACAAAGGGGAAAGAAGGGAAAGGAGGGGAATGAGAATAGGAAAGACAGTGGAATGAACTGGACATTTCTATCCTATGTGCATATATGATTACACAATCAATGTAATTCTTCATCATGTACAACCAGAAGAATGAGAAGTTATACTCCATATATGTCCAAATACATTCTACTATCATGTAGATAGTAGAACAAATAAAAAAGACTCATACTGATTTAGCCGCCAAACCTCTATGAAGGTTAGGGAGAAGGGAAGTAGAAATGATACTTGCAGCTTTCTTCAAAACTTATTTAGGAACCTCTGGATTCATCTGTGATCAACTAGAATCCTTTGAAACAGTCAACTTCTCTAGGAGTTTGAGACTTCTGAAACTCTGACTTGGTGCCCTTTTTAGGAGCAGCGTAACAAAGATGGATGGTGTGCAGATGAGGCGGGTTTAGGGGCCTTGGTGGTTAGGGACATTGGCAGGTCCCTTAGTGCCCTGTTTGCTGTTGATGGTGGGTGGTACCAGGAGGGGCTGTGCTGTCAGTCGCTGGCGGAGGGAGGGAGGCTGGCAGAAGGGATTTGCCTCTAGGCAGCTCCATATCCACTCCAATTTATCCTGTAGCGTCCTGGCCAGGCCTTTGACTGGGGAAGCAGGTCCAGGCTGGGCACCAGTCCTCTGGGCCCAGGCCATATAGGAGGCTGGGTCCATCTCTGTGGCCTTTGCAGCTCAGGCCCAGCCTTGGCCTGTGCCACCTCCACTTCAAGGTGCCCCAGTGAGGGAGAGGCTGTGCAGCTGTTCCTCAGTGCCTGCCAGCTCTGCCTCATCGCGCCCACTCTCTGAGCCCTCAAAGCAGCCAGAGTCCCGTGGGATATCCACCTTGGGTTCTGACACTGTATGCACCCCTGGTTCCTGGCTGCTCTCAGCGCCCTCTTCTGCCTCCTCGCTGCCAGCTGCCAAGGATAAGGGAGGAAAACAGAATATGGGGGGGGGGGTTAGTCCTAAGGTGGGGAATCAGAGGCTGCAAGGAGACCCCCCCCATGGGGGTAGGGACCATGAGAACTCTCCTGTAGGCACTTAGTTCCTCTGCCCCCTCAACTACTCCTGCCCCTCTTCTCACCATTTCCAGTTTTTTTTTTTTTCAGGTCTGCTCTGCCCAGGAGATCAAGATCAAATGAGTCTTTCGCACTGAACTAGAGCCAGGCAACTTGGGCTTCAATCCTGGCTGTATTATTCAGCTTTAAGTCTTTGTATAAGTGCCCTACCTTCTCTGGCCTTAAGTCTTTCCTTTGATCCAAAAGGGAGCTGGGTCCAATCACTCCTAAAACCCCTTTCCCCACAAACTTTCCCTGAAACTCAAATTCAAGTGGGGAAAGTTTCTAGTGCAGGGAGCTCCAGGGCAGAGTATAGTCAGGGGCAGAACTAAGGCAAACATTTGCTCTCCGGAATGCCAACTGGCAACTGTGCCTATCACCCCATTCCTAAAGCCACTCACTGTCATAGTCCAACAGCAACTCTGCAGCTGTGAGCAGCTTGGCCCGGTGCTGTGGGTCCATGATGTTCAGCTCATTGAGGTGTGTCTCCCGCAGCTCCTTGAAGTCCTCCAGTGTCTGGTAGCCATTGAGCAGCAGGGTGGATGTGTGCTCCTGGGGGCAGAGGTAGGTCAGTGACATTGCTGCTTATAAGCCATCCCAGCCTAGAACCTCCCCTTTACACATGGCTGTCGATCTCCATCCCAGGGGCAACTGTGCCTCTCTTGCTCCTAGATACTAATGTAGGTCCAAGCTCAAACCTCCAGGCCAATGCGCTCCAGCAGCTCGTGCAGAGTCTTAGGCTTGGGCCTCTTGCCCTTGCTCTGTCGGCGGCTGGGGCGGGCAGGCCCCACAGCCTCCTCTGGCAGTACATCCACGTAGATGAATTTGAAAGAGCCCAGCTTGCCATTGAGCAGGCCCAGCCATGTGCCCACAGGTGGTTTTTCAATGATCTGGATCACATCTCCTTTCTGTGGGGGGAGAGGAGAAAGGAGGACAGGAGAGAGGAGTGCAGGAAAGAGGAGAGGGAGTCTTTTGGCCTCTGCTGATACTGTCCTGCCATGACTCAGTCCAGCCTCCTTTATGGCTGCAGTCTGTTAGGCTCTGAAGGGGCCCGGATGCCAACCTTACCTGCAGTTTCAGTGAGTCGTGGTCATAGGGGCTGGGAGTGAAGTCGGTGTGGACTCGTGCCCGACCACAGAAGGGCCCTGTGTACTGGGAAGCAGATGGTTCCTCCCCGAAGCTGCCAGAGCCAGGGCTGGGGCTGTAGAGCTCACTGCCTGCAGGAGATGGGGTAGGGAGGAGGCTCACCTTTGTCCCAGGAGAGCTGGGGCAGTGCCCAGCAGGTACCTCCCAGAGATCCTGCCTAGAAATCTCAAGGGTACATGCTGAGCAATCCTCAAACTGTAGGAGTAATTTGGAACTCATCACCTTGGCCACTCTGGAAAAGCACAGCTTTACCTCTGGGGCCTCAGATAATGAAGAGTTGACAATAGGAATAGAAATGACTCACAGACCAAAGAATGGGTAAATTGGGAGGGCCTCTGAAGCCCAATTGGGCCAACACCTCAAGGAATAGATGAAGAAACCAGAGGCCAGATGGGCTAAGCGACCTGCCCAATGCCTCTCACCTTATACTTGATAGCACTGGGTCTATTATACACCAGATCTCACTCCATTCCATCGCTTCTTACACCCAGGAAGCCACACCTTATGTTAATAATTTACTTTCTTTATTTAATAAGATTAAATATTTAGTTACAATATCCCATGGAAACTCAGATGGGCACTTTCTTCCTGGAAGAGTAAAATGATGGGCATTTTAGATGGCTTTCAATTGGAGGGGGTGACAGGGAGGTGTCTGTGGAGGCACAGAAAGAATAGAAAACTTGGAATGGGACTAAGGGGCAAAAAAAGGAGTCTCTTGAGAGCTGCAGTCCAGAACTCATAGCCCTCCTCCAGGCAGGGCATCTTCTCTGGGTCAGATCCAAATTCGGTACTGGGTTACCTTGAGTGAGTCACTTAACCTCCCTGAGCCTCAGTTTCCACATCAATAAAGTGGCAGATAATAGTAGTGATCCTATGAGGTTGTGAAGATTTAATATGAAGAGTGCTGAGGAAGTTCCCAACAGGCAGACAGTAAATATTCATCTCTCTTACCTCCCCTTCCCAGAGACCCATCTGCCTGGCCCTAACCCAGTTTTCTTCCAAGTTGGGCAGGTGTCCTCCCTCCTCCCCTACTCACTCGTTGATGTCTGGCGGCTGAGCACTGGGAGTTCACGTTCTTCCTGCTCAGAAAAGGCCAGAGCCATCTTCTCAGGGCCAGGACTGTCCAGGATGCAGTCTGGAGATGTAGGGGAGGCTGAGCCCTCTTCCAGCGTGTCTCCCTGCAGGGATGTTAGGCAGAAAGCCCTCAGTGACCTGGCTGTGGTGCACACAGGTCCGACCTAAGTGCAGAGGAACTGGACCTGGGCTTGGCTCAAACTCCAGCTATGTTACCTATAGGCTCAGTGACACTCTCCAGCCCTAGTTTCCTCTTTGGTAAAAATGGGAATGACAATCTTTATCCTGCCTACCTCACAGGACGAGGCTCACAGGTGTGCCCAGTGAACATGCTTTATCAGCTTCAAGTGCTCATGTAATGCTGAAAAGGCCAAGGGTGAACAAACTTGGACTCAGGACTATTGTTATGGCCCAGTCAAGCAAACAGTGGTGCTGGAGAGCAAACCTTTTGCCTGTGCTTCTAAGAGCCAGGCCTGCCTGCCATTTCATTTTATCCTCACAGTGCCTCTAGAAGATAATTGATATAGTTGGCTTGAGTTCACAGATGAAGAGTGACCTTGCCAAGATCCATGGGAACCCACAAGTATGTTGGCCTGACTCCAGAGCTCCTCCCATCTCACCACATCTCTGTGGTGCTGTTTAACAGCTGGCTCTCTGGGAATAAAAGCCCCAAGATTTGTCTATTCCCATACTGTAAATTCTCCCTACCATGGCCAACATCAAGCCACCATTGTGATGCCACTGGATGTGTTGCTTGAAGAAATAGTTACGTTACTTCCACTACACAGATAACCATAGACACAAATATGAACAACACTGAGAGAGTAACAGGTAGTGTTACGATTAGGAAGTGCTGAATTTTGAAGATTTATGGTATTGTTCTTGCTTTTTAAAATTTTTTTTTTAGTTGTTGATGGACCTTTATTTTATTTATTTCTATGTGGTGCTGAGAATCGAACCCTGTGCCTCACACATGTGAGGCAAGCACTCTACCACTGAGCCACGACCCCAGCCCTTGTTCTTGCCTTTAATATAATTTATTTAATTGTAAATTTATATAATATTATTTTTCATAATGATCTAATTTAACAACTGGCTTGCAAAATTCCTCACAATTTGAACAACTGCTCTCACAAGCCAATCTGAGCCAACTCTAGCACACCACTGCTTGGTGCCTTTGGTAATAGCCACAAGCTTTTACAAGTTCCTTGGACTGTGCTGCCCCACCATTGTGTCACCTTCCTCCCTGGGCTGAATCCAACCTTCTCAATTTTCTCTATGAATGGTCTCAAACTTCATGATTGTTTGACTTACAATCTTTTGACTTTACAATGGCACCAATGCACTATGCATTCAGTGGAAACTGCACTTTGAATCTTGAATTTGGATCTTTTCCCAGGCTGGCACTATGCAGTATGAGCCTCTCTGGTGATGCGAAGCAGTGGCAGTGAGCCACAGTTCCCGGTCAGCCATGAGATCATGAAGGGAAACAACTGACACTTGACTGTGTACTGTGTCGCTAAGCTCTGATTTTTTTTTTAATTCCAGGGATTGAACTCAGGGGTATTCGACCACTGATCCACATCCCCAGACCTTTTTAATATATTCTATTTAGAGACACGGCCTCATTGAGTTGCTTAGCACCTTGCCATTGTGAGGCTGGCTTTGAACTCGTGATCCTCCTGCCTCATTCTCCCAAGCCACTGAGATTACAGATGTGCACCACGGACCTAGTTTTCAATGCATTTTTGACTTAATGATATTTTCAACTCACGGTTTATTAGGATGTAACTCCATCAAAAATTAAGTAGATCTGTATTTTTCTCTATATCCTCCTATAATCAGGTCTTTCCAATCCCAGGGACTAATTCCAAGCAAAGCTTTGAGGTAGATGGATTTGCCTCCAGTCATCTCATGCCCCTTTCAGCTGCCCCTCCCCACAGGCCTACCTTTGCAGGAAGCTTCTATGCCTAGCCTAGCCTTTCATCCCTCCACAAACCTCAGCCCTTTCCTAGCCAGCCTCTTAGCCCCGAGGACTGCATTGCTACACTGTTCATGGCTGATTGTGAGATCTCCCTCCCATGTGCCCTTCCACCAGGCCTGAATAGTTGCTGTCACCCCCTGCCAGAGCCAGCCTCTTTGGCTCCCCTCTCTTGGATCCCCAGGGCTCACCATCTCCTCTGACAAGGCCTTCACCATCATCTTGCCCATCTTCCTGTTCATGGTTCGGGAAATCACTGCCCTCCACTTCTTCCCCAGCTTTTTGCCACTCTTCCCAGCATCCTCTGGGATGGGGACACCGGAGTCATCTTCTGGAATCTGTGACAATAAAAGAGGAGGTGACCTCTTTGGGTCCTAGTCTTGGAGTACAAAGAGATACTTTGGGTCACTGTAAAGGTGGGAAGGAGATAGGGTTCTCCCATCTTTTTCCCCCTTAGCCCCAGCCCTGTCCTCAGTCCTACTAATTTGCAATTAATTTGCTACTTAATTTCTTATAGAAAAGAATACAGGCAGGTACTTGGAGCTCATAAGTTTGGTGTTGGGCAGGTAGGTCTTCTGTGTCAAAGGATGTTTTGCAGGGCTGGGGTTGTAGCTCAGTGGTAGAGCACTTGCCTAGCATGTGTGAGGCACTGGGTTTGATCCTCAGCACCACATAAAAAGATAAATAAAATAAAGGCATTGTGTCCATCTTCAACTAAACTTTTTTTTTAAAGGAGGCTTTGCCTGGACAATCCTATTATCTCCTTTTCCCTCTCCTCCCTCTCACCCCTATTTCTCCACCCAGGGGTTTTAGACAGATCCCACAAGGAAGTTCTGAAACTCACATTATCTTCCAGATTAAATTCCTTCTCGCTCACCACAGGGGAGCTGGGCTTGGATTTGGCAAAATCCTTGAAGCTGCTGGAGCGCTGAAGGGAAAGCTGGAAAAAACAGACATTTTGCAATCATTGGCACTAAAATGGCTGCCCCAGGACTGATGTCTTCTCTCTCTCTCTCTTTCTCTCTCTCTCTCTCTCTCTCTCTCTCTCTCTCTCTCTCTCTCGATTGGTCAGAGCCACCTGTGCCCTAAAAGCCCAGGGCTAATGAGGTGAAGGGCCAAGCTTCCTTTGAGCTATGTGACTTCATCCTATTCTTCACCTTATCCCTGGCCACTGATCAAGTTCCTGACTCAGAAGCCTCAGATCTCAGTAAAGCCCCAGACTAAGCTCAACTTCCACCAATAACTGAGTGAAAGAATGAATGGGTTTGAGTAAATGTGTACCTCAGCACATATGAAAACCTTACCACAAGTTAACTGAGAGCAAATTCCTCCCACACTCATTGGCTCTGGCCTTCATGCCCTGGGCCCACGCTGAGCCAGCTCTGCAACCCTAGTGATTGGGGTAAACATATTGGCCTCCTGCTCGATGAACTTGTCTCAGACCATCCCACCAGAAGCCAGAAAGACCTATTATTAGACTTTCTGGAAAAACTACAGTAGAAGCTCACTCATAGAAGGTGCCTATAAATTTAGAACACAAATGATTGGGGCTAATTTAGTTAAAGCAAGCTGCCATTTTTCTCTTTATTCATTTCAGCTTTTAAACTTAGCCACTCATGTGATGAGCTGGCAACTCTTGACTTTTGCCAAACACTTTTGTATTTGGAATTTAAGGCATGCCCTATTGTGTTGATGAGACTATTTTCAGGAAATGAGCTTTCTTCACTGTATGTACATGAATATGCTAAGATAGCAGCCAGAAACCAAGGCAATACAGGTAAGGGGGGGCAGGCCATAGACACAAGAAGTTGAGGCTGATTCTGTATCAAGATAAACAGTCAAGACCAGAAGATATACACAGGAACCGGGGTTCACAGATGGCCAGACAGATAGCGCGGGATAGACTGCAGACAACCAAGATAAGGACTTGAGGAACCAAAGCCCCAAACCCACACAAAACTAAAGGTTTCACATCCTCTTTCCTAGTAAATGAGGGTATATGTGTCCAGTGGTAAGCCCCTAGGGCAGAGGCAATATCACCTGCCCCCCAACACATCCACAATTTGTCCCAACTCCTGGGGACAAGAATATAGCTGTCTAGTATTTTGCTAGTCTTGACCAAAGCTGCCAACAATCCAGCATCAGGAACCAGACATTCCTAGAGGTAACTGACCAGAAACTAGGTCAATGGTCAGGTCAAGCAGACTCTAGAAGGATCAGGACCTCATGGGTAGGGCATCTGCAGCCTCAGTCAGAAAGCCTCCTCTGTACTACCTTGGGGACCCAGAAAAGGGGACTGTGAGTAGATATAGAGAGGGGGAAACATGACCATGGGGTGACTGCTGTGGTTCTCATACATTAACTCCATTCTCCTTCCTAGGTTTTCCCCTGCCATTATTCATTCCTCCTTTTCTCCCTTTCTTTCCCCTCTCTCCTCCACCTTCCATTTATTTCCTCCTCTTGTATGGTAGGATGCAGCTGCCTGGATAACTTCCTCCTCTTAGTGCATGGAAAAGAGGGAACAGAGAGAGGGGTGGGCACTAGACTGGCCTGGGCCCAAGGAGGGCAGGCTGGCCTGCTATTTATAGGCAGATGGGGCCTATTGTGACCTTCCCTTCACCACCCTTTAGCCTGATCTGCAGATCAGGAGGCTGAGAGTCGCCCCTTAAGCCCCAGGGACTGGTGAGGCTGGAAAGCAAGCAGGAGGGCAGGCCTGGGGCCAGAAGTAGGCTTTGTTAGGGAAGAGTAAACTCATGGCTCGGCTGCCCTCTAATCGCAGCTCTTTCCCCAGGCCTTTTCCTGTCATTAATCTGCGGTCTGGGGGCTGGGAGAAGGTACCTTTGGCTCATGGGCTCCTCTGTCCCAGATTTAGCCCAAAGCAGGAGGAGATAATCCAAAAGGGCCATGAAGTTGTTGCTGGTGCTTGGGCCCAGCTGGCCACTTTTCAGTCTGGTGAGATGGAAAGGACTAGCACATGTTCTTTGGGTGATCAAAAGTGAGGACCAATCAGGGTAGCCTTTTTCTAGGACTACTTCTAACCTCAAGGGCAGCTCCGATATCCCGACTACCTTTCAGTGACCCCAGGGTGTATCTCACCCCACCCTGGGATGACTTGAAATCCCTGAGCCCATTTGAGTTTTCTGCCTGGCCTTCCTTTGGGGCAAGACTTGCTGGGAGTCATGGATATAGGAGAGGTGGTACCACCTTTTCAAGTCCAAGGGGAGCATGTTGGGACTCTTGGAAAGAGCTATATTTCTGGCATCAGATATTGATGAGTTCAATTTTGGGATGTGTGACCTTAGGCAACTTCTTTAACCTTTCAGAACCTCAGTTTCTTCATTTGGTGTCAGATGGCAAGGCTTCACATCTGACCAGCTGTGTAAAGCTGGATAAGTTACTTAACTTCTCTAGGCTGCTGTTTCCTCATCAGTTATATGAAGCCCAAAGCATCTACCTTAGCTTAGCCTTTTGTGTGAGTCACCTCTAGACTCTTACCCTGGGCATTTCTTCACCTGGAATACTCAGCCTTTCTTTCTGCCAACCATAGTTTCTCTCCTCCTTCAAATTCCAGTTTAACTGGAAACAATCCAGATGCCCATCAAATGCTGATAAGATAGATTGATTGCAGCAGACTCACTGAAGAGAATAGCACCCAGCAATGAGACAATACAACTATCCCCAACACAGGGATGAGTCTCACCAATACACTCTTGAACAAAAGAGGCCACCCCCCAAAGAGTATATATGCAAATATTTCAGTGGCTACACAAAGTTCAAAACCCAGGAGAACATACTTATGCTGTTGGAAGTCAGGGAAATAGTTACCCTTGGGGAAAGGGGTCATTTAGCAACAGGCAGAGCATGGGAGAAGTTTCTGGACTTTTGGAAATGTTTTGTTTCTTGATCTGGGTGCTGACTACATGGGAATGATCACTTTATGGACAATCATTGAGTGATGCATTTATGATTTATGCACTTCTCTGTATGGCAGAGAAGTGTTTTAAAAAAAGGATTTTCCACTCCACTTTATTTTTATTTATTTGTTTTGCAGTGATGGGGATGAAATCCAGGGCCTTGAATATGCTAGGCAAGAGTTCTACCACTGAGTTACATCCCCATCACACAATCACTGTCTTGGGATCACTCCAACCCAAAGACAGAAGCGACTGAGTGCAATGCTGACAGTAGGTGGTATTTGAACAGAGTCACCAGGGGAGCCAATAGCAGCATGGCAGTGGAAAGGCTCAGGATGGCTTCATGGAGGAGTTGTATTTGAGCTGGGCCAGTGGGGGTAGGATGTCTCTAGGTGGAGCTAGGAAGGGTTTGAACAAGAGTCAGAGACAGAGGGACATTCCAAGCATGGTGATGGAAAGGTGGGTATGCCAGTGTCTGTGGTGGGAGGTGGAACAGAAAAGTTTACAGAAGGCCTTTGCAGCCATGCCCAGGAACTTGGGGTGTTAGTTATCCTGTGGGCAATGAGAAGCTATTGCTTGAATATCCTTTATTGAAAATGTTTGGGATCAGAAGTATTTCATTTTTTTTCATATCTTGTAATATTCACATGTACATAATATATCTTTGGGATGGGACATAATATACAAAGTTCATTTATGTTTCACATACAACTTATACATTTAGCCTGAAGGTAATTTTAGACAATCCTTTTAGTGTGCTTGCGTTTTGACTGTAACCTATCACATGAGGTCGGGTGTGGAATTTTCCATTTGTGGTATCATGTAAGCATTCAAAAAGTTTCAGATTTTGGAACATTTCAGATTTCCAGATTAGGGATGCTCAACTTGTACTGAAAATATGAAGCACATGCTGGTGTGGATGTCATGTTAAGGGTGTGCTGTGGCAAGGGAGCCACTGTGGAATAGTATGCTGAGGTTGGGGGATATGGGGGCAGAAAGAGACTGGAAGGAAGAACCAGCTAAATACTCAAACAGGAGTCCAAATTCCTCTCCATTTTCCTGGTGGTAAGTCTGGGAGTTGGTGAAAATTGAAGGTATGTTGCGGACGGGCCATTCTTAGGGGAAGCTAGTCCAGGATAAATCCCTTTCTGCTTCCTATACCCTAATACTGGCCTTTGAATGAAGTTAGATCAAAGAACCAGAAAGAAGTGAAAGTCTCCTAAGGGCAGCTAAATGATATGTCCTTTGACCCTTGGGCCTCCCCAGTCCTTCATAATTAATAGTGGGTGCCATGTCCTTGCCCTCGCATCCAGGAGGGCCTATTCTTGCCTCTGCTCTGTAGGTTGGAAGGCCACTCCTACTGGTGTTCTGGAACTTTTATGTCCCTCAGACTCCCTTAGTGCTTTTGAGATCAGTAGGTGGGAAAAAGCATGGAGAGAGAAAAGGGCTCAGACTCTGGAGTCAGACAAATTTTGACTTAAATCCCTGATCTACCATTTACTGGTAGTGTAGCCTTCAGCAAGTTCTTCCATCTCTTTGAGTTTTGGTATGAAATAAGGATAATGACAATATCTGCCCCTCCTCACAAAGTTGTAGTGAGGAGTCAGCACAGTTCTTTGCATCTATGGAACCTTCCCCCAGTGGTGGCTCTTTGTGTTATTAAGTCTTGTTTCTACCACTTCAGAGTTGGGACCACGGCCTGTTCTTTGCAGTGTGCTTCCTACCTCTGCCCATGCCAAAACATGCACCCCCTCCTGGGCATTGAACACATGTGACAGAGTATTCTCACAGCTATTGTTCTAGCTGACTTATTCCACCTCGTGAGGTAGGCAGACCAGAAGTTATCCTCCTTTTCAAAGATGAGAAACTGAAGCCCCAAAGAAATCAATGAACTGTCCAAGGTCCTCCAGCTAAAGAGTGGCAAGATTCTAACTCTACTTTCTTGTCCCCTGCTGGGCACAATCTCCATTTTGTAGGCCCAAGAAACAGGAGAGGGGTAGGGAGAAAGGGGGAATGGAGGTGGGGAGGGAGGAAGGGAGGGAGGTGGAGAGGGAGGTAGAGAGACCTTCCTTGCCTTTAAGTCTTCCCTCTACCATATCACCTCAGTCTCCAGAGAGAAGAGGCTTGACTACAGTCATCATGCATGCATGATGGAACCAGTTCACTGCTTCCAGGCCTGTGGAAGATGCTGTATCTTCATTCTGGAAGTTTGGCTTTTCTAAGGCCATTTTCACAGTATGGGCTTGGAGCATGTGCAGGCAAGCTCATCTTGTCTCTGGAAGCTGGCACAGGATATGGCAGGGTTAGGGTAGGGTTTGCCTATACTCCCCTAAAGGATATCAACCACAGAGTGCCACATGGGCCTTACTTCCCCTGGAAGTGGCCTGTGAGCAATTTCAGAGGCTCACCTGTCAAACACAGAAAATTGATAATTAAAGCTGAAAAAAAGGGGGGATTTCTAGTTTCCGTGTGTCACTAGGTACCTTTGCCTGATGTGGCACAGGGTCCCAGTGTTAAAGTGTCAGCTCTTTCTCAGACTCTTTCCTCCAGTTCACTGTGGTTTGGGGCCTAGCAGTGTCTATAGTGCAGTCTTTGCTTCCCATCCCCATCAGCCAGAGAACAAGGGGAAGTGGCCCCGCTTGCTAAGGAGTGGCAGCCAATGGCAGGCCTGCTGGGACTAGCACTGTGTGAGGTTGGGGGGGGTGACAGGTCCCGTGTGAAAATTCAAGAATCTCCCCTCCCCCGCCTACCACCACTGCAACCTTAGAGAAGCAGCTGGGGTGGGGAGAATACAGCCGGAAGTGGCAGCCACCCAGGACCTGAGAGATGGAACAGGATGCACACCCCAGTGCCCTGAGGCTCAGTCTCAGCTGTCTCAGCCTCTGACTGGGAACTGTTTCCCTGAAAAAGGGGCTCCCCCATAGTGCACCTGGGCTGAGCTCCAGGGAAAATTGGCAGGGTACAATGAGGACATGCAGGACTCACACCTGGGCCTGGAAGCCTCTTGGACCTGATTCAGACCTACTTTGGAAGGGTCCAACAGTCCCATTGGAATGTACAGTATGTACTTTCTGATTGCCTGGGAGAATCCTACAATCAAATCCATTCTCAGATCCAACCAGAGAAACCTAGATCTGGCAGAGCCTTCAAGGAATCTTCCAGTTGGGCATCTGCCCCAGAAGACCATGAACACTCAGTCATCCATGAAACTGCTTTCCTTCCTAGCCTTTGAAACCCTCCCCCCACCTAATTTTTCTTCTTCAACTATCACCATCTCACTAGCTCCATTTCTCATTCCTCACATTTTTCCCCATGTGGGAAGAACCTGTATAGTGCCCCATATCCCATTTGCAGTTTGGGAGGCCCTTTTCCTGAGTCCGGGTCATCTCAGGCCCCTCTCCAGTGGCCTGGGGAGCTGCAACAAAGCTGAGTCCAGTGGTCAGGTTCTGGGCCTTGGCCAAATGGAGGGACCCTGGGGGCATTTTGGCTGTGTGGCCCAGTGGGGTCCATCTTGGCTTTGAGATGGCTCCTGAAAGGCCACACTTGGGCGGAAGAGGTAGCAGGACCAGTACAGGGGATCGACAATTAAGTACAATCTTAGGAATCAACTTGAGCATTGTACTTTGTAATTCTTGAATTCTAGTCTAGGATTCTGGTCTCCAATATTAATTCATTATCCATCTTGCTAGGGTTGAATTCTATCTCTATTCTAAGAGTCTATCCTGTGGCTTTGTCTCTCTAGGATTTTGAAAATCTCTCTTGTACTTCTGTTACTCCAGTAACTTTTGGGCCCCTAGGAGAATGGGCCTCACCTATGAGCTCAACATATGGCCTTTTTGGCTCTTCTCACTTCTACAAGTCTTGGAAGGGACAGGAGAGAGCAGAGGAGGGAAGGAAAAAGTGAGTTTCCAAAGATGTTCCTTACCTTTTTCTTCTGAGTGGGTTCCTTCTCGCTGGCATTAGAGGGCTTGCGGCGCAACATGGTCCTCCCCGAGGTGAGACTCCTTCCCTGATCTCCTAGGTGTCAAGATGCAGAGGTCTCTTGCTCTGCCTCACCAACACTGTCCAGAAGGCACTGCATGGACCGAGCCTCCGGCTGCCACTCCGACTGCAGCAGTGGCAGCTTGGGGGTGCGGGCCATGGACACCCAGCAGCACAGCATACAGGAAGCCCTGCCACGTGACCTGCTCTTACAGCAATCGCAGCCCCTGCTGGCCCCTAGGGAGGAAGGAAGTCCCAACTTCAGTCTCCAGAGATTCTGATGCAGACAGCTCTTGGGCCGAACAATTGGAAAAAAGCCCCTACTCTGTTGTCTCATGTCAATCATTACCAGTCCTTCTGCTCTATCTCCCAAGAAGTGACAATCAACTTGAGATATGCGGCCTACTCAAGCCCTATACTCACTGATCAGAATCCAGCAAGTGGAAGGTGGACTCACTCTCTGCTTGTTGGGTCAATGATCCTGGTCAATTGCATCTCCTAGGCCATCACTATTACTACCACCACAGTCACCCCAATGGCTATGATCACTGCTATCTACTCCTATCAACATCCATCACCAGAGTCATCAACCCAACAACCATCACCCTCACAACCATGATCCCTGCAGTCATCCCCACTGCCATCAGCACACCTACGGCCATCATCACTACAGCAATCATCTCCACAAGTCAACATCCCTCAGCTTTCATCTCTACAGTCATCGCTGTTGCCTCTATCACATTTACAGCTGTCACCCTTACAGATATTATAGTCAGTCAACCCCATGATGCTCTCACCCCTACAACCATCATCACCTCCCTCAGCCATCACCCCCACAGTCATCATCACTAGAGCAGTTGTGCCTACAGTCAACACCCCTCACATTACATGCATGTTTATCACTACCACAGCTAAAAGGCATTTGTAAATACCACCACACCACCAGCAAATGTCCCATTTAACAGATATTTATTGGATGCCTATGCATGATGCTTATGTTTTGGATTATCTGTGGCACATATTTTAATAATCTCAATGACATTATTAATATTATTGGTACTGGGGATTAAACTCAGGAGTTTCTACCACTATAGAAACTATAGATGTAACTATACATCCCTAGTTCTTTTTATTTTTTATTCTGAGACAGGGTTATATTTGAGATAACAACACTAAATTGCTGAGGATGTCTTTGAACTTGCAATCCTCTTGCGTTAGCCTCCCAAGTTGCTGGAATTACACACATACACCGCTGTGCCCTGTGACTTATTCTTACTACAAAAGCAATTGGTATTCATCACATACAATGTAGCAAACAGAAAAAAAAAGTAATTTCAAAAAATTCTTCATAATTGTTTTCTACACTGTTTGGGTGAATATCCTTTTCTGTTTTAAGCATTTACTTCTTTGCTGATTAATCTTTTTTTTCTTCTTACAAAAATCATACTGCACAGAAAAGAAGATCATTGCTTTCATTACATGGGGAGGGGAGGGAAAGGAGAGAGTACAAGGGACACTGGGAATCTTTTGCAGGTGATGGATATGTTCACCATCTTGATCATGATAATGGTTTTATGGGTGTGTATATATGTCAAAACTTATCAAATTATACACTTTAATAATATACAGCTTAGCCTGGCATGGTGTGATTACAGAACATGCCTGTAATCCCAGCGACTCAGGGGGCTGAGGCAGGAGGATTATAAGTTGAAGGCTATCTTCAGCTACTTAGTGAGACCCAAAGCAACTAAGCAAGACGCTGTTTCAAATTTAAAAATAAAAAGATCTGGGAATGTGGCTCAGTTGTAAAGCACCTCTGGGTTCAACCATACCAAAAAAAAGTACAGTTTATTGAAAGTCAATTATACCTCTATAAAGCTGTTTTTAAATAAAAAAGACTACAAAAACTGTGTTGATAATTGCTTTTCATGTGGAACATAATATTTTCTCATGCTATGAAATGTTCTTCAACTATGTGATTTATAATAGCTGCTGAGCATCATATTGTGTGGCTATACCATGATTATTTTACCAGGCTCCTACTGATGAACTTGGGTTGGTTTAACTTTTTAAAAACTTTTCGTTGATCATCCTTAAGGTAAATATTCATTCACATCCACAATTTTATTTATAGGATAAATGTCCAGAAGGAGAATTGCTGGAGCACAGGTATGCACTTTTTAAGATTAAAAAAAACTGTAGGACAGAATGCCTTTATTTTTATATGGTGCTAAGAATTGAATCCAGCTCTTCACATGTGCTAAGGCAAGTACTCTACCACTGAGCTACAACACCAGCTCTTTTAATTTTTTTAACATTCAAAGAAAACAATTCAACTTAGAAGATAACAAAAGGGAAATAAACTCATGGAGTAACATGAAGTCGAATATTCATCTTCAATGAGGAGTATAGTAATACAGGGACATCTTCCTCCCTGGTTCAAGACCTGTTTCCAAGTGACATGCATCATCTTTGATCCCTAACCTCTTGGAACATCATAAAGAATTCAAAGGATGAACCTTTTTAAGGCTTTTGATTCTGTGGCACTTGTGAATTCCTGGCTGGCCTGCCTCTGTTGTTCCCAAGATGTTCTTCTAACTTCCTCCCCCAATCCTGACCCGTGCCCTTGGACCTTCCCTCCGTTGGGGGTGAGCTCAGGGAAACCGAGGTCCTTCTTCACCAGGCTGAAACCCTGTTTCCTTTAGCTCTGACCTATTCGGCTTGCTAAACAGATTCATAAAAAAGGTTTTGTGCCCCAGGTCGCTTCTGAAAGACCCTCCCAGGTCACCCAGGAAGCGCCTGGAAACCACACAGGGACCGACTCATAGGAACCGGCTCATAGGGCCTTTGGGGGCTCTGCATGATCAGGAACGGGAGAGTAGCCCCATCACGGTCTAGGATACAGGACAGGATTACATGGGTTCAGGGCACCTGGTGCTCCGAAGGCCGGGGAATGCAAGGGAGGAAGCAGCTCACAGAACCTTCCCGGCCTGCACGGCCTGCGCAGCGGTGGCGCGTCCTTGGCTGGCGCGCAGGATGTGCCCGCTTCCTGTTTGCTCAGCCCCGGTAGCCAGCCTAGCTCGCACACTAACCGCAGAGCCTTCAAAGGCAGCCAGCAAACCGGGGAGCTGGACTGCCCACCGAGGCCTGGGGGGAAGAGAAGGTACCTGGGAGAGGTACAGAAAGGTGACAGGCTCTAGGACAGAGGGAGCAAACCTTTTCTTTCCCACCCTTCTTTCCCCTCAGATCTGCACCCTCTGGACAACTCTAGAATTCTAGAGTCTGCCCCATGTAGACTTGCCTTCCCCTGGGCATTCTCTTCCAACAGAAGACCCTGGCTGGAATCCCAGGGGGTCAAGTCCCAGCAGGCTAATGGGCCCTAAGCACTTATTTAATAGACATTCCCTCTTCTGGGAAATATATTTGCATTTAATAAGCTCCATTTGAAGTATACAGAGCCTTCAGTTAAAGAAGTGATCTGTGTCAGTAGTTCAGTGAACAAGGCCACATTCAACTTGATCATGGGTTGGCAAGCAAGATCTAGGAGTCTGTGCTAGGCACAGCCTTGTGCTAGGCACCTTGAGGGACAAAATAAATAGCTGCCAAGGTTGCATGCATCAGGAGCTGACATCCTAGGTAGGAGGCAAGCTTACTTTTGCCTAACACTTGTTCTTTGCCATTAGATTTCAGAAACATTCTTTAATCCTGCTACAACCCTCTGTGGTAGGTAGTTTAAGCTGGGATAAAGATGGTAAAGATGTGCCCAAAAGTATAAGTGTTGGGCAGGAGAACCTTGATTTAGCAGTAGCATTGCAGGGTGTGTGTGTGTGTGTGTGTGTGTGTGTGTGTGTGTGTGTGGAAGGGGGTTTCCCACTGATAGCCAGATCACTGTGAACCCTCAGAGGGCAGAGATGGGCTGCCATAGATAGTCATGAGTGAGATATCTGGGGCAGGTGGGATCCAGGCTTGTATAAGCATCCCTCACACCTGGAATGAGTACATCCCTGCTTTGAAATAGTGAGTTTGAATATTGAGGTCTACCTATATTTGGAAAGACTTCCTAAAAAATTCTTACTCTCACTTCCTCTCCACAAACTCTCCATATATTCCAGCTGAAAATTCTAATAGTGCATGGCAGGCCATGGGCTTTACAACAACTTGCTAAGGCAGGTACTATTGTTATCCCCATTTCCCAGGGAAGAAACAGAGACACAAAAGGGTTAATTGAATCGCCCAAGACTGCACAGCTAGTAAGTTCTGGGAGCTGAGTTTTAAATACAGGTCAGGTCTTGGTCCAGGGACCATGCTATTAACCACTAGGCTAAAGTGGATCTGATGCAGAGTTCCTGAATAAGGAGATAAGAGAATTGTAACAAGACCCCCTGTCACAGCCCTAAGAATGGTGCCCTGTTTTGGATTGGGTGTTGCACTAGGTGCCACAGGACCACTTTAAAGCAGAGGGGAGAGAACAGGATGGCAGGCTTCTGGAAGTCGCATCATGTGCACAACAGTTGCAGTAGGTAGGGCTGATTAAGTGGAGACGAGGTATGGAAAGGTCCTTGTCAACATGTGAAGTACTAAACACCTGTCATATTTAGCCTAGAGAGTTGGGTGGGGAATTTGAAGCAAGCTGATTTCCAACAGCTGTCACGTAGAGAAGGGAGACTTATCTACGGAGCTAGGAATGAAGAGGAACAGATAACTGGAAGGCCTGGGTTCATTCTCAAGGAAGAAATTTTGGCTATTTAGATGGTCTTATTCAGCCCTGGTAAGTGATAGTCTTCCTGTCTCTAGAAATATCCAAGCAGAGACCACATAGTTCCTTGAAACTATTTCCAAGGCAAAGCCCACCTTGACAGCCCAGCTCATTAGCAAATTTCATGGTGGTCATCTCAGGCAAAGAGGGTGGAAAGGGAAAATTACAGGGGGAGGAGGGCAGAGGACGGCAGTAAGACAAGGGATAGGAGACTCATCCATTCTTCAGGCACCGGCACAATGCACACAGAGCTTTCAGCTTGGAAACGCTGGAGAGCCCCTGGGAAGGAAAGAGTCATCTCTGGAGCTCTGAACTCTGGTTTTGTTTAAAAACAAAAAACACCTGCAGGCAGCTGTGGTAATTACCCTCAGAAGAGGGGGCTGGACTTTGTTGCTCAGAGCAAAACAGGCTCATGACTCACTGGAGGGCCTTTCTATGGGGAAGCAGGCAGGGCTGGGTTGGGTGGCTTGCCTAGGACTCTGTCTTAAGGTTATGAGGAGAAAAGTCTCTAAGCAGTGGGCCCATGACCCCATGTGGACAGTTGGGGACAGTGGAGCTTTAGAGAAGAGCAGAAGCAGAAGAATACTTCCCAGAAATGGAGGCTGGTAGACATAGATTCAACTGTCCTATGATCTCCTATTGGCTACATGACCTGGAGTAAGTGACATCACCTATGATGAGCCTTAATGAAAACAGTAACAGTGATAATGTGTTCCTCATTTATGGGTGTGTGTGTGTGTGTGTGTGTGTGTGTGTGTGTGTGTGTGTGTGACACCAGGGTTACTACTCAGATGATATATGCATAGTCCAGAGCCCAGTTCATGTAAACTGCTGGATGCTCCAGGCTCCCACCATGAGTTTCCTGTCTTTCCAGAGCCAGGAAGCCCTTGGTGACCATTTGTAGCTGCCTTCTCTCTGCAGCATCCCCTTGATGACTTCCATGTTTTCTGGGTCTCATCTGAATCTCTGCCACATGACCCTGTGGCCCATATCCTGTGTGTCTCTACCTTGTCAAGGGCAAGGTCCCTTAGCCCAAACTAGAACACAGGAGGCGTGGCAAGCAGGAGAGTCTAAAGCTGCCTGAGACCTGCTAGGAGGGAAAGTAGATTTTCAGCTTCAAGGCCTTGCCATGGTCCACTGGGGCTTTCTCAACCCACCCCCCCATCCTACCTCACTTGAGCTGCTTGCCAAGTTCCTGTTTCACAAAGAAACAAGGAAGTAAAGAGGCCGGCCTCAGTCAAGGGCTTGCGGGGTGGGGGTTTGGGGAGCACCTCCCACTCCCAGCTGTGATGAGCCTTGAGGGGGGGGCAGGAATGGACAGGGAAGAAACAGTTGCTACTGAATCTTTCACATTTCTATTTTTTCTGGCACCAAGAGTGCCCAACTATTGATTTGAGGAAGTTGGTGAGTTGGTAAAATTCACTGCTGACGTGGGTTCTGGGTTCTCTGGGTGAAGAGGAGCCAGCCCAGCCCCTTCTGAGGCTCCACCTTATGAACAGTTGGAGCCAGCTGGGTGGCAAAGAAGCGGGATCCAATTTAGTTATCATTTAAAAAATGAACTATTTGTGGGCTGGGGCTGTGGCTCAGTGGTAGAGCACTTGCCTAGCATGTGTGAGGCACTGGGTTTGATTCTCAGCACTACATATAAACAAATAAAGGTCCATCAGTAACTAATAAAAAATACTTTAAAAAATGAACTATTTAAACTATTTTTATGTGTATGCATGAATCATCTTACTCATGCCCTTTTCTTTCCAAAAAGGACTCAAAGCATCAAGAAATGTTGCTCTATACCACCATCACCATTGTCACAGATACATAACTTCAAACGGATCTTCTTGAGCCTTAGTTTGTTCATTAGAGGCTATATGGGGCTGACAGAGTTGCACACTGAAATCGAGAGAGGAGCCATCACAGAGCTGAATCAGTATGTTTAGGATTTAACCCTTGCCTTAGCCCAACAGGCTGTGTGACCCTAGGCAAGTCCCTTCCTCTTTCTGGGTTGCTGTAGAGGATTTCTCGTCTGTACACTGAAGGGGTTGAACCAGATGTTTGTTTGGTCATGTAGCTCCTATTCAGGACTGGATATGGACTTTGAGGGCCCTGGTGCAAAATGAAATCATCGGGTTCTTTAAGAAAAAAGTATTAAGAATTAGAAGACAGGTGACATGAGAGAGCATTAAATCCAGTTTAGAGGCTCTCTAACTACAAGTCCCTGAGTGACTGCATAGGTTACATGCCCATGAAATTGGCCCTGCAACCACCTCCAGCACAATTTTGTTGGAAGCCTAATTCTTTTTAAAAATATTTTTATTTGTCAATGGACCTTTATTTTATTTATATTCAGTGCTGAGGATCGAACCCAGTGCCTCACACATGCTAGGCAAGTGCTCTACCACTGAGCCACAACCCCAGCCCCACCTAATTCTTTTTTTCTGGAGCTCTGCTTTCTTTGACAACCCTTGTGAAGTTTCTCAGGAACCAGTAGACTTCAGGGAACATAGTTGAAAAAACAGAAATTAGATGCTTGCTTCCAGGCTTTTTCAGTTCAGTTTTGGCTATGTATTTTTAAATTGGAGTTCCAAACCTTTTTCTTATCTACTTTCAAAGGTGAAGCAAAAATTGACCTCATGCTTGGAAAATAACAGCATTATCATCTCTTGTCTGTGTAGTTTCCTGGTTTACAGAATGCTGCCACATCCGGGTTTTATGGGTCTCTATAACCTCATCAGGAAGGCAGTATGGGTAGTTTATGGAAGGAATAACTGAAGACCAGAGAGGTGAAGGGTCTTGCCCAAGGTCACACAGTTGATAGAACTGGTACTAGATGAAGTTCTATCTCCTAGGAAAGGGGGCTTTCTACATGGCCTGCTTCATAGCTACAGGCAGCAGGTGAGGAGAGGTTTTGGTAAGCTCCATCCCCGAGCATAAATACAAAAGACCAGAGCCCAAGAGGCAGTTACTTATCTTCAATTCCTTATGATGTCACAAGAGGCCCCATGTATGTCAGACCTGCTGTGTATGCCCTGAATCTCTCCCTGCCTAACCCAGAAGGAAGCTTTTAAAGCATGAACACTCAGTGCTGGTCATTTGGGTCCCAGGGAAGGGAGGAGGTAAACTGGCTGTGGGCCCTTCCACTGCTATGCTTCCGGGGCCAGGGTTCTCAGTTTCAAGACAGTGGGCTGGAGGGGCCATAAGTGTGAGAAGGAGATGAGCTAAAATCCTGGCTGAAGAGAGTCTCAGGCTGAAGAGAGGGAACCAGAGCACAGGGCTGCCTTGAGTATGAAAGGCCCACAAATGGATCTTGGCCAGTAACCATGACCTGAAAGAACCCTAGGAGCAAATGGCAGGGCACAGGTGCAGGTCTGGGCAGGCAGGCCCTGAGGAAGCTGTACGGTATAGACTCTGCTTCTCAGCTGTGTTCCTGGTCGAGCTCATTTTCTCTTCTGGAAAATGGTAAGCAAGAGCCATACCTCTTGACAATTTCTGAGATAGTAGGTACTGGAGACAGTTGACTAGTTTGAATCCTGCCTTACCAAACCGCCCACCATTTACTTAGCAAAAAAAAAAAAAAAAGTAAACTTGAGAAAGTGGGTTAATCTCTAAGGGCCTCACTCAGTTCCCTTACTTATAAAATGCAAATAATCCAAGCACCTCTTCACAGGTTGTGAGGATAAAGTGAGAAATTGCCCATAAAACTTTCTGTATGTAACATAACACTTTCTGTACATTGCACTCAGTAGTGGTAACAGTGATGCTGCTGCTGCTGCTGATGGAAATGACTTTAATTTTATTAATAGTAGCTGTCTGTGTGGTGAGCAGGCAAGAGAGCAAAGGACCCAGCAAACAGAGGCCCACCACTGGGTGCTACAGGTTCTCAGTGAGGGTGGTCTGAGCTCTGACATTAGGATGCAAGATTTGGTGATGACTGTCATAGTCATCCTCATGTTCAGCAAACTAGGCCTTGTGCTGCCAGGCTGGGCAACTTCTTAGCCTGGTTCCTTTGCCTAGCACCCTGTCCCCAGAGCCTTGGTTCTCACCTCCCCACCACCCCAGAACACAGTGTCTGTTCTGGCCCCAAATTTCTGGCCCACATTTGGCAAGTTCCCAGCATGAGGCTTCTCTCTGTCCCCTCCACACCTCTAGCACAGGCTGGAGGCAGCTGGCTAGGCAGAGAGAGCATGCGCATACATGTTCAGGAGCACACTCACACACAGGCTCACGTGCACATTCTCAAGCCCATGTGCTCCCCCACTGAGCTTCTGGAGCCTCAAGTCCCCACCCCCACCTCAACCTCTCCTCTTCCTCCTCCACCACAAAAGCCACAGGTAACAGCAGCCTCCAGCAACAGAGCAGACACAATACAAAACCAGAGGCAGGCATCTTTGCAAGGCTGTTTTAAGCATCTAGCAGGATGTGAGCCCAGGTGGCTAACGGCTGACTGAGGCCCGAGAAAGCTGGGCTCAACCAATGAGGAGGGGGCTGGGAGGTGGGTTAAGAGTTGCTGCATGGTGCTGAAGGGCAACAGAGCTGGATTGCAGGCCATCTCCCCATGCGTGTTGCGTGTCCTCAGGCAGGGACCACCTTCTTCCTGAAGCTCAGTTTTACTGTCCGTGAAATGTGGAACCTAGACTCTACCCACCTGAGGTTAAGGGTCATCCAAGGATGTGGGAGGATTTAATAGTATTGCCAATGTGGCTGCATTTTAGAAAGTTAAAAGGGCTCCTTGAATGCCAGGGAAACCTGGGATAGTGACATCATTCTCTAACCTCTGGTAGCACCATATTCTAGAGTACCTTGCCACAGTCCCTCCTACTCCATAGCCAAAGTCCTACACTTTCACCTTCCCTGCTGTCATTGGAACAGAGTGCACTTGGGGTTTGGGAGCAGTGGGCTTCCATGTGTGTGGATGGCGCTGGCGTGTGCTCCTGGCTGGCCTCTGGCTCCAGGCTTACCCTGCCCCCCCACTAGATTTGTTGTTCTCCTCAATCCTAAGTAGCTCTCTCCAAACAGATGACACAGTCACCCTTCCTTTGTCTTCCTCTAAGGTACAGCAATTAGCCTGGGGGAGTCCTGCTCCTTCAGCTCTATGGGCTGTAGCCAGGAGGCCAAAGTGGAGCTGGGGACAGGTGGGTGGCCAAAGGCAGCCTTAAGGGTTGGAAAGGCCACAAATTCAGGAGCCAGTGTGGGTGGAAGCAGCTCTGACAATCTCCACTAGGTGGTAATAGGGCGGAGTTCTCCCCAGGACATGGAGCCCTAGGAGTAGGGGCACTGCCTGATTGGTTTTTTATTTGGGGGGAGAGGAAGTAGCTCTAGCAGTCTGGGCTCACAGAAGGGAAGGCATAATTGGCTCTGTTTTCCCAAACTAGGGGCTCAGGGTGAGGTGCACAGGCCTGGGGAGGGGTGTGTGAGCTGCCTGTGCTGCCTGGGATCTGCCTGGAATCTGCCTGGGATCTGTCCTTCCAGAGGGGGCCAAGGGCAACAGTTTCTAGGTAATGGGCCAGCAAGTGCTCTTGGGGCTTGTGTGGTACAGGGGGAGGGGAACTCAGCAAGTCTCACATCTAGGTGGAGGTCAGCAGGGGAGTCAGGAGCCTCTAGCTATTCTGGATGAGGAAGGCAAGAGTGGTGGCTAGCAAAGCAGAGGCCAAGGAGGTGGAGTGGGGGGCACTGGCAGACAGGGGCTCTGTGTGCTTCTGCAGCCAGGCCAACTCTTCCAATAGCTGGCGATTCTGTAGCTCTGGGGCCACCTTCTCCCGGATGGTCTGGTAGTAGCGATTCAGGTACTGGAGCTACAAAAGATAGGTTTGATCTGAGCTACCAAGAAGTGAGGTCTTGACGCCACCCAAACCCTGCTGTGGTATTCCAGATATCCACCTTGGTCCAGGAACCCAGCGACTATCAGGCCTTAGGTATTCTCTGGGGTGTTCCACAGGCAGTTCCCCATGGTGGCTGCTTAATGCCATAGTAATGTTCATGAGGAATGAGGTGGATGAATTTCAGGCCCAAGAATGAGAATAAACAGGGCTGGCATCCCCATTTTACAAAAGAAGAGATTGAGGCCCAGAGAGGGGGTAGGGAATGCTTATTTTTCCAGACCTTGTAGTAAGAGAACTCACGAGTCCCAGTCTCAGCCTTTCCAAGAGTTAACTACCTAAGATTGGGCAGGCTGGCCTGATTGGAAAATTCTAGAAGTTTGGGGGTCTCTGGTGAGCTGGGAAGGTATGCCCCAGTGTCTGTCTACAGTGCTACCAGTGTGGACTCTCCTGGGGAGGGGCAGGGACAGAGTGTCTTGGAGTTAGAGGCATGAAAGTCCCAGAGTGGGGAAGAAGGCAGTCATTCACAGGCTGAAGGCCTGGCAGTGCTGACGGATACTCACCTGCTCAGGGGACAGCAGGCTGACATCAATGAGGTTTCGGTCATAGGGCACGAAGGACACCACTTCAAAGGTCAGGTAGCTCCCTGGGTACTGAGAGCCCACAGAAAAGGTGGAAAAGCAGGAAAATGAAGGAGGAGGAGTAACTATGTTTAAGGGAACATGGGAGCACTCCACACAGAAGCTGCAGGCACAGGAAACTGATCCTTGTCAACCCAAAACAGTGGTTAGATCTGAGCTTTCCAGAATCTCTTCCCTTGGCCAACCATCATCTTCTCTAACACTTAGCCCCTAGGTGCTTTCCTCTTTATTCCTGAAATTTAAACTTAGATCTGTGTTTCTCAAAATGTGGGTATCAACAGCACCTGAGGAGTACATTAAATGTGTAGATTCCAGGATCCACCCCCTAGGCCTACTGGGGCACAATCTCTAGGGCAGGGTCTGGGAGCTTACATGCAAATCAAATGATTTACAAATAAGTTATTAGGGGAGAATCAAAGCCTCTGGGACAGGAGTCCCCTGTGTTTCTCCCTTGCTAGCAAAGTAATAAAACTTCATTTTCCTTTTTCTCAAAAATAGTTATTAGGGTTTTCTACCCATCCATTCATCCATCCATCTATATATCTACTTATTGATTCATCTATCTATAAAGACAAGTAAAAAGAAAGGGGTAAAAGCCTATAATTTCCATCTCTCAGAGAGCTTATGTGCTTAGGAAACTCAAACTACACAGATACATAATAAAAATAGAAAGTCTCTTCTCTGGCCAGTTTCCTTTCTGAAAACATTTCTGGCATATGCAATATATATATTTGAAAAAAATATATGTATATATTTGAAAAGCCATTCAACATGGATCCTACCATACATGCTTCTCTTTACCTTTATTCCCACCTTACTTCATGGTAAACCCAGGAAAGTGCTCTGAATTAGCACAAGGAGATCTACCTCATTCTTTTAAGGGTCGCAGAAGATGTACCATGATTTATTTCAGCAGTTATAGATTTTTAGGCTGTTTCCATTTTTTTTTTTACTATGACTGTCAATGCTATAAACCAACAGCACTGTATAAACATCTTGATGAACTTTGGGACTATATCCAGAAGGTATATATTTGGTGAAGGAATTGCAGAGACAAAAGGTACAGGGATTTTTAATAGGCACTTCTATAGATATTGTCAAACTGCCCTACAGAAGTTTGCACCAATTTGTACTTCTCTTAATAGTGAACTGAGAGTGTCTATTTCACCACATACCCATCAACACTGAGTATCATTGAAGCCTCTAATTTTTGCCAATCTGATAGATGAAACATGATATTCTGTTGTTGTTTTGATTTGCATTCCTTTAAGGATGGAGTTGAGCATCTTTTTACATGTGTGAACCATCTGTGTTCATTTTAGTGAATTATCTCTTCATGTCCTTTGCCCACTTTTTTCTTTTTTGCTTTTCCTATTTTTATCCTATTTCTTTGTAAAAGCTATGGTAAAATTAAGGAAATTCACACTTTATTTGTGATGTAACACATTGTCACAGATCTCTCTCCCTCCCTCCCTCCATTCTTGCCTTCCTTCCTTCATTCCTTTGCTGTGCTGGGGCTGGGACCCAGGTCCTTGTGCATGCTAGGCAATTGCTCTACAACATAGCTACATCCCCAGACCACAGACTGCATCCCAAGTCCACTTTGTCATAGTATCTTTTGATATTTTTGGTATTATTTCCATATACACATTTTCTATATAATTTAGTCAGAGTTTCAATATTTTCCTTCATGACTCTGGGTTCTATACAGAAAGGCCCTTTTACACCCTGAGATTATAAATTAATTCATATAAGTTTTCTTCTAGATCTTTTGTGGTTCCATTGTTCACCTTAAAACTTTGGTCCATCTGGAATTTTATTTTGATATAACAGTGATGTTATTCATTTTATTCCCACCAATGATTGGTCATTGGTTCCCCCCACCCATTAGTTGAACAATTTCTTTCCTCTTTACTGTTTTCAAACATCAGCTTTACTGAAAACTAAATTCCCTGAGACTGGGGTTGTGGCTCAGTGGTAGAGTGTTTGCCTAATATGTGTGAGGCACTGGGTTCAATCCTTAGCACCACATAAAAATAAATAAACAAAACAAAAGTATTGTGTCCATCTACAACTAAAAAAAAAAAAGAAAAAAAAAAGAAAACTAAATTCCCCATGTTGTTTATGGGAATTAGAAGGTTTACTTTGGGAATTATTGTTTTGTTGTTCCCAATGTCTGTTTCATCTCCAGTTTCATTCTCTTTTATTTTGTGTTAATTTTTTTAAATATTTTTTTTAGTTGGACACAATACTTTTAGTTATTTTTTATGTGATGCTGAGGATTGAGCCCAGGGCCCTGCACGTGCTAGGCAAGCACACTACTGCTGAAACACAACTCTAGCCCTTGTGTTAAATTTTGACAGGGCTAGTTTTCTTTATTGCTCTTCTTTTTCAGAATTTCCTACTTACCTAGCTATCTTTCCATGTTTATTTTTACAAACAAACTTTACTGTCATTTTGTGAAGTTACAAAAGTATCTAGTTAACATTGAAATTGTGATTGTCTTGAATTTATAGATTAATTTAGGGAGAAATGACATCTTCATAATATGGCGGCTTCTTTTCAGAGAGCACCATTTACTTAAATCTTTTTTATGTTCCTTTAGCAGAGAGTTTTCTCTGTAAGTCTTTTAAAGTTTATATCTAGGTATTTCATCTTGTTGGTTGTTAAAATATCAAATCCTTATCTAATGAGCTCCCTTGGTGATTATTAATGTGCACTGAGAACCAATGATTTAGAGCAGGGATACTGATTCTCTTGTCCTGAAGTGGGACCTGGCATTGGCATTTATGAAACAAACAAGCTTTACAGATGATTCTAACTTGCAGCTTGAGAAACTGATTTATGGAATTCCTACAGAGTCATGGAAGATTCCAAATAAATTCATGCTCACACATTAAATGCCCTTCTCCTTCAGCTTCCACCACCTCCCATGAAGCCCAAAGTCACTACCATTCTGTCCACACTTCCAGCCCATTTCAGTGGTACGTTACCTTGGTCTTTGCTTCCACTACGAGGGCTACATCTTCAAGACGGATCCCAAATTCTCCTTCCTGATAGTAACCAGGTTCTGGGAGACACAGAAAATGCTGATAGCATTAAGCCAGGGTGGGTGGGGACACCCAAACTCAGGCTTTATGTGCCAATCAAGTGGCTGGAGTGCCCCACTGCCTGTCTGGCTCCTCCCTGGCTGTTGGCTCTGGTGGCCCAACAAATTGGCTAAGCAGAGGCAACATGTTAGGCCTCAGATTCCTTCTAAGCCAAACTCTGACTCACCATCCCTCCCTTCTCCCTGTGTGCCACTGTCCTGTTACCCCAGCATTTGGTTGGAAACTCCATAATCTGGACGTACAGCTGAAAATCAGCTCCCAAGAATAATAAGGATGATAAGGGCCGAGAGGGCTGGGTAAGAGTGGGCCAAAACATTTGGGATACAGGAATGAGAGTGGGGAGGTAAGGGAGGGGAGCAGTGGATCCAGGGCTGTGCCCATGCCTGGCTGCTTCCTGAAGGTGAGTGCCTGATTCCCCAGCTAGCCCTGCTCTGGGATTGGACGGTGCGGTGGAGAGGTCTGAGAGCTGTACCTATGGAAGTGAACATGCCCTTGGCCATCTTAATGTTGTTGGACTGGAATCCCACTGGCCCTAGAAAGAAAGATACAGGCAGGTATCAGCTCTCCTATCCTTACCAGCTTGGAGGTGAGCAGGTTCTGGAGAAGAGCAGGTAATTGGGGTCCCTGGGCATCTGTAGCAGTACTTATCTGTCACATCATTGTCTACCTGGAGCTGGCACATACCAGAATAGCCCTGGTGTTTATTTCTCTGGGGTCTATGCCAATTACCACTAGGCTGTGGTCCTCTCTCTGGTGCTCTCTTAGATGCCAAGAAGGCTGTGGGATTGGCCAGCTGCCAGCATGCCTCACTTATCCTGTGGTGCATCACCTCCCCCTAGCAGGGTGACCATGGGTGGGTCATGGCATCTCTGTGGGTCTTGGCAATTTCCATACATGTGAAATACTTTCTTTCATAGGGGGTGTCACACAAGGGGGGATGCTGGAGCAGGGGTTGAGAAGGTACCTACATTCATGCACACACAGGAAGTTGCCAATGCCATGGCCTGTCCCATGACCATAATTGAGGCCAATGTCCCACAAGGCCTTACGGGCAAAGGCTTCCACCATTCGCCCTAGAAGGGAAAAGAGAGTGCCCTCGGTCAGTTGGCTGGATCCCAGACTGTCCACCTTGCCCCTTCCTGATCAACTACCAGGGTAGTGCCTGAGGAGAGGGGCTCCTGAGAAGCAGGAAAGCAAGAAATGACATGGTGACATTGGGCAGGAATGGAGAGAGGCTAATGAATGAAGCCAGTGACATCATGGCTAGCCCAGACCCTCACTGTTTTCAGCACAATGTACATTGTACCTGTTACCTGGGCAGACAATTTTACCACAATTTCTCCCCACCCATTAAGCCTTAGCACTTTGACATCTATTTCCTCTAGGAGTCTTCCAATGACTGCTGCAGCCCACAATGATTTTCCCTACCTCTGAGCAACAGCATTGAATTAGGAGGCAGCAGACCCGGATTTGAGGCCTGGCAATCCTACCAACCCTCTGTATGAACTTGGGAAAGTCTTTCTTAAAAAAAAATTATTTTTTTAGTTGTAGTTGGACACAATACCTTTATTTCATTTATTTATTTTTGAGAGAGAGAGAGAATATTTTAATATTTATTTTTTAGTTCTCGGTGGACACAACATCTTTGTTTGTATGTGGTGCTGAGGATTGAACCCGGGCCGCACGCATGCCAGGCGAGCGCGCTACCGCTTGAGCCACATCCCCAGCCCCTCATTCATTTATTTTTATGTGGTGCTGAGGATCGAACCCAGGGCCCTGGCACATGCTAGGTGAGCGCTCTACCACTGAGCCACAATCACAGCCCCACGAAAGTCTTTCTCTCTCTCTCTCTCTCTCTCTCTCTAGGCTAGATTTTCTCATCTATACAAGGGATAGGATGATGATATAATCCCTGACCCACTAGCTTCCCAGGGTGGCAGTCTAAATTCCATGAAATCAGGGCCTGAGGCTCTGTGTCCAGCCTGGTCTCCAAAACCTACCTGATGTAGCAGCAGGAAAGATAAGTCTGGACAGATCAATGTTTCCCATCAACACACGGGTATATGCCTCCTGATAGGGAGAGGAAAAGGCGATGGGACAGGCAGTAGGAGGAGCCAAGGGAGCTTCCAATGGCTTGGCCTAGGGATGTGTGGGGGTGGGGCCCAGGCCTATGTGTGTTAGCAGAGTGGGGGCGACATCCTCATATATGGGTCACCCAGGTGATAGAAGATGGCCTAAGGAGGCTGAGGAGGACATTTCTGAATCTGGGGCTCAGTTCATGTAACTCTCTTTGGCTGGCCCACAGAGGTCATTATAATGTGTTGAGGACATGCTTATTTTTTAAAAAAAGAATTTAACCTTATTTTTTAAATGTATGTATTTATATGTGATGCTGAGGATTGAACCCAGTGCCTCACCCATGCCAGGCAAGCACTCTACCACTGAGCCACAACCCCAGCCATAGGACATGGTTATGGAAGGTGGTTATAGTGGGGGTGGGGGCAGGAAGACTGTGGGCTGGAATCCTGGATTGGCCATTCAAACTCTGAGGTCTTAGGTCAGTGAATTTCACTTTTCTGTGCCTCAATTTCCTCATCTGTAATGGGATGACAGTGGTATCTAGTTCCTAAGCTTGTTGGGAAGAGGATGTGGACCAATGATGAATGTAACACAGTAAATAAATGCTCAACTCAGCGCTGGCACACTCCTTGAGGGCTTGTAATCATTCTTTAAGTTTTCCTAAGGCCAAGATTGGGTTGGGCCTGATCATTTGGCAGATCAGCCTTCCTGTCAGGGGAGTGGGGGTGGGCTGACCGTGGCATGGCCTCTTCTGGTCACTGCAGTGGTGATGTGGGCTATCCTCTTCACTACCCACCCACATAGGCTTGTCGTCTCGTGCAAGGCAGCCAGAGGCAACAGACCCAACTGGCTAAATTGTGAGCTCTTGGAGTTCTGCAGAGCACTTCCCCTCTCTGTTTTAAGCACAATGTCTGACTTGTGATCTGTTTGCTGAATGCATGAATACAGCTCCCTGTCCCAACCTCTGCCCTAGTTGACCAGACCTCACTGTCCTGAACACCTCCAGCTCCTTTCTGCCTCTGAGGCTTCACTTGTGCCATTTTCCTCTATTTAGAATGCCTTTCTTCCCCCTTTCAGTTGAGTGCAGGGTCAGACACGCAGACAGCACTAAAGAAGTAATTGTGCATTGATATACTGAAATGGAACAAGGTGACCTTGGACCAAAGCCTTGGTGGCCTGCAATCTCTGTGAGGGAGCACTGTGTTTTCTGGCATTAACTTGCTACATGAACTTGGGCAAACTACTTAACCTCTCTGGGCCTCAGTTTTGTTCTCCCAGGCAAAAGGACTCTTGGTGGAGTCTTTTCCCAGGAGGGGAATCCTGGTCCCAACACTTACCTTTTGGAAGGCAGAGGGGGTGCCCCAGTGGACTGTTCTGGTGATATCTGTGGTCCCATCCCTGTGGAGAAGGGAAAACCAATATGATCAGCTCCACTGAGTGCTTATGGGTAGGGGCTGGGCCCTGTGCTTTTCCCACTGGTGTGTGAGCAACAGGGCTGGGATAAGGCCAAATAAGGAAGCAAAAGGAAGATAGCCACCATCATCAAAATCCTGCCTTCAGGACTGCGAATTGGTGCAACCACTCTGGAAAGCAATATGGAGATTCCTCAGAAAATATAGAATGGAACCACCATTTAACCCAGCCATCCCACTCCTTGGCATTTACCAAAAGGACTTAAAGTCAGCATATTACAGTGACATAAATGTTTATGGCAGTTCAATTCACAATAGCTAAACTATGTAGCCAACCTAGGTGCCCTTCAACAGGTGAATGAATGAAGAAAATGTGGTACATATACACAGTGGAATATTATTTAGCGAAAAAGAAGAATAAAATAATGGCATTTGTCTGTAAATGGTTGGAGCCAGAGAGTATCATAGTATGTGAAATAAGCCAATACCAAAGAACCAAAGCTGAATGTGTTTTCTGATATGTGGATGCTAATTCACAATAAGGGGGTGGGGAAGAATTGAGGTATTTTGGACTAGACAGAGGGGAATGAAAGGAGGGGAGGGAGTATGGAGGCAGGAATGATAGTAGAGTGAATCGGACATTATTAACCTATGTGCATATATGATTATAGGACTGGCATGATTCTATATCATGTACAACCAGACAAATGAGAAGTTGTACTCCATTTATATATAATGTGTCAAAATGCATTCTGCCAGGTGCCATGGTGCACGCCTGTAATCCTAGAAGTTTGGGAGGCTGAGGCAGGAGGATTGCTAGTTCAAAGCCAGCCTCAGCAACAGTGAGGTACTAAGCAACTTAGTGAGACCTTGTCTCTAAATAAAATACAAAATAGGGCCAGGGATGTGGCTCAGTGGCCGAGAGCCCCTGAGTTCAATTCCTGGTACCCACCCGAATGCACTATACTGTCATGTATAACTAATTACAACAACTAAAAATATTTTTAAAATTTCTTTTATATTTTTAAATACATGACAGTGGAATGCATCACAATTCTTATTACACATATAGAACACAATTTTTTTGTTCACACCAACTCATGTCTTCATACATATATTTTGGATAATGATGCCCATCACATTCAACTATCATTTATTACCCCATGTCCCCTCCCTTTCTCTGCCACCCCTCTGCCCTATCTAGAGTTCATCTATTCCTCCCATTCTCCCTCTCCATAACCCACCATGAGTCAGTCACCTTATATCAGAGAAAACATTCAGCATTAGAACAACTAAAAATATTATTAAAAAAAGATCTATAACACAAATTTCCACTTTAGCATGTATGCATGAAGGGGCTCTGCATAGCTCTCAAGGTGAAATTCACTATATTCTCTGAAAATCACAATGCCCCATATATACTCCTTCCCGATACTACCCATTTGGGCTGGTTTACAACTCTCTGGGTGTCAGGTTAGCTCTAAATGCAAGGCTTCTTCTGGGCTTCCTGGGAGGTAGCCCAGGGTTGTTTCCTTTTTATAGATAGGGAAACTGAAGTTTGGAGAGATGACATTACCATAACATTCCCAGGTTCAGATGTTTCCCATTTATAGGACACTTTTTCAGCTCCTTGAGAAGGATGGCAGAGTCGGCCTTATTATCCTCATTTCACAGGTGGAATGGAAAAGGCAATTGAAGCCTTGAGGCTGTGAGGTGGTCTCACTCCCCAAGCCTCAGCAAAGCCAGGACCAGGGCAAGCACTAACTTTCCACGAAGTTCTCTTCATTATGAATATGAATCTGACTCAGTGATCCAGCGAAGTGAAGCCAGAGCCAGAAGATCTGACTCCCAACCACCAGCTGCAGCATTTCCCCAAGGACAGTCCCTGGGCCAGCACACCCGCCCACCTTGGGAAAGGGGAGGGGAGAAACCATCCCAGGGCCCCAAGGGTTCCTCCTGGGGAGTAGGTCATGGGGCGTGGTAAACTACTTCTTCAGAAGGAGAGAAGAGGAAGTGAGGTGACCATTTCCTCAACCTCACCCTCCTCTGAGCATGCCCCAATCCAAAAAACACCCCCACAAATTTACTTCCCCTTTGCAAGTCGGCCATCTCAAGTATGCACAGCATGGAATTGGGGATTAGCAAACGCTGCTAAACTGAGCCCCTGCCCCACTGCCTGTGAAAGCTATGCTAAGAGCCAGTGAAGGAGTTTTTAACATTAGCACATTCACCATTTCCACCCAAGACAGGTTGGGGGACCCTTAGAAACTACTCTGTGCTCCTACTTCAGTTCAGCACACGCTTTCTTTTGCCTCACCCAATCTTTCCACAGCCCACTTGCTCTCTAGATGAAAAGGGAAAATCTTTGAGGTCAGGTCAGCTCAGATCAGCTCCAGTACATATAATTGGCCACATATTTGGAAGGAATATGCTTAGCCTATTCTTCATGGCTGTCATGTCTTATTCCAGTTGTGCACTGGACAAAAAAAAATACATCTAAAGAGTTGCTTCTTACTTGCCCCTACTTCCAGCCTGACCTGGTCACCTTACCTGTTCCATAGGAGGAGGGGGAGCTTAGGAATATGCATAGTGGTCTTTGGTATGTGGGCTGTGGCCAGAGTCTGCACAAGTGGGTTAGAATATGGGTATGTGTGTGCAATCGGGCAAGGATGTATAATAATGTGCAGACTTAAAAAAACATTTTGCTTGAGAGGAGTCTTCCTAACACTCACAGAAGTGCTGCATATCTAGCTACCTAGCCTACATGTGTATCCCCATTATCCTCGTCTCTGTGTGGTTGCCACTGTGCAGGAAGCCCAAATGTGAAAATGAGAAGGATGTTCAGTGCAGGGTTGGGGGTACATACCAGTACTGTCCCCCAGAATCCACCAGGTACATCTCATCTGAGGACAGCTTGCGATGCATCTCCTTGGTTGGGCTGAGAAGGGGAGAGAACACTGAGAGGGGAGCAGCTTAACCCTGCACTGAGCAATGTGGAGTTCTGAGTGAAAGCAGAGACACTAGCCAGGCATGGTGGTGCATACCTGTAATCCAGCAGCTGGGGAGGCTGAGGCAGAAGGATTGCAAGTTCAAAGCCAGCCTCAGCAACTTAGCAAGACCTTAAGCAACTCAGTGAGACCCTGTCTCTAAATAAAATATAAAAAGGCCTGGGCATGTGGCTTAGTGGTTAAGTGCCCCTGGGTTCAATCTCTGGTACCAAAAAAAAAAAAAAAAAAATCGGAGGAACTCCCCCTTCCCTGCAGACCAGGCTCATGCTCTGGGGATATCATTATCTCCCAAAGGCCCTGGGAAAGTATTTGATATCTGTTGCTGCTGTCCTCAGCACACTTCATCCTGCACTGGCCCAAGCAAACCTTTGGGCCCCAGGGAGGGGAGGAAGAAAAGAACCCAGAACGTGGGAATGAGGAGAGCCTCAGAGACCACCCAGTCCAGCTATCTCCTTTTACATAAGGAGAGACAGGTCTACAAAATGACTTGCAAGAGGTCACACAGGAAAGCAAGAAGAAGTTGACCGTGGACTAGGATGCTCCATCCAGTATTCTCTCTCTCTGCCTGCTGCCTCAGAGGGTGGGAGGGCCCCAGGAAGCAGGGCACAGGAAGGGAGGAGACCTTGTGGGTGGGGCTGTAGAACAAGAGTCCTGAGGGTTGAAGAGTACCTACTCTGTCACTATCTAGCTCTACTAGGGAGAAGTAGAGAGAAGGGGCTGGACCAAGGCAGCTGAAACTTGGGAGACACCAGGGGGTGCCACAGGAGGAAGTTCTGGGATACTCCTGGCCTTCCTTCAGAATGATGTCCAACCTCTTCCTGCCATATCTATGCCAGGCTGAGGTGTCTGGTTACCTCCAAATATCGTTAGGCAGGCATACAGTGTTTTCCATGGGGCCAAATATCTAGCCTACAACTTGGGCCCACCGTGGTTGTTTCAGACTGAGTGAAATAGGTTTTTCTTCAGAATGCTCCTGAACTTTGAGAATTAGATAACATAAATAACTCACAGGAAACCAAGGAAAAGCATCTAACAGCAGCCATGCCTCTCTCTTAGAACCCTCAGTCCTGAGTACTCAAAAAGTGCTGGCTTCTTGGGGGAAAAGTCATTCAATTGAGCCTTTTAATTTCAAGGGGACTCCCAACCCCATCCCCCACAGTGCTCAGAGCCTCAAACCTCAAATGTGGACTTTGGGCCCAGAGCATTCCCTCCTCTACCCCAGTCCTTCTTCACCCACAAGATCCAACCCTTGCCACCAGAATCCTAGAAAATTCTTTCTCCTGAAGTACCTGTAGTGGGCCAGGGCAGCATTCAGGCCACTAGCAGAGATGGTTTGGAAACTGGGTCCAGAGGAGAAGTTTTCTTCTCTGGATAGTGCAAAGCAAGAAACAGTCAATGAATGGGCGCTCAGTCTGACTCCGTTTAGCTCTCTCAGCCCCATTTCCTGGTTCCATCTCCCCAGGGCCAGTCCTGTCATTTATAGAGCACTTGAGAATGGAAAAGGCCAGACTATAAAGAACTATAGAGAACTCCCCCTCCACCTTCATTTTACAAATGGGAGTGAAGAAAGTTAGCTTCTTGTATCTGAAAACGACCCCAGCCCCGGATCAATATGTTTCTCCTCAACAGTACAGAATGTCCTTGGTGTGGCCCAAGAACCCCCCCTCCCTATTGGGAGCTCTCAAGTGGTGCAGTAGCAAATTGGCCTGAGCCAGCCTCCGGGAGTGTGTGTGGGGGGGAGCCCGTGTCTGAAGTAGACACTAGAGGGCGCTGTTGGTCATCCCACTTTCAGCGGGGCTGGAGCTTGTCCTCCAACACCCCCTGCCCAGCTCCCAGACCACCCAAGATCCTGTCTCTCCTATTTCCAAATACAAGGAAGATCTTCCTTCCCTCTAAGTAAGTGGACTAATTATCCCTCCCTGCCCCCACCCCCACACTGGAAGATAGTCTTTCACCCTCGGAACTTGTCCACGAGCTCTGCCCCTGAGAACTCATCCACCGTGCCTTTGGGCACATTCTTCTCCAGCCAGACCAAGTACCGGATCACAGCCACAGCGTCCCGCACCTGGAGATTGGGAAGCAGAGAAGCAGGCTGAGGTATGGTCAGAGTGGCAGCCACAGGCTCTGGGACAAAGATCAGCCACTTTGAGTTCTGGAGCTTTGAAAACATGAGGATCTGACTTGCTATTTGATATCAAAGGATTCTACTTAATGTTTATATCTGATCGTAGTGTGCTCATGTTTTCAAAAGCATTCTTATCTTTACAGATGCTTACTGAAGTGTTGACAGTAGAAATGATTTGATATCTGGGATTTGTTTTAAAATAATCTAGCAGCAGAGGATGGGAGTGGAGGTCATGAATGTGGGGTTATAGACAAAATGAGACTGGCTATGAGTTGATGATTGTTGAAGTCAGGTGATGGGGACACAGGGAATCATTATGCTACCTTCTCTCCCATAGCATACATTTAAAGTTTTCCCTTAGAAAAAGTTTTTTTTTTTTAAATGAGGTAGCTTAACCTAATTTTAACAAGAATATTCCAGAAAAGTGGGCTGCTGTCTTGCCAGGATGAAGAAATCATTACAATACATAGTTAATATTTAGGGAGTGTTCAAAGAACTGCACACATGTGTGCCCCCCCCCACATATTCTTCATTAAATATCCACTATAATTGTGTGCTATAAGATTATTATTTGATCCTCCTTTTTCTGATAAGGTAACAGGCCTAGAGAAGTTAAATGACTTGCCCAAGGTTACCCAGCTAGGAAGTGGGTGGAGCTGGAGTTTGAACTCAAACACTGTACCTTCCAGCTGCCTCCTGCCTCCACGTGCCCATGCTCTAAACCATGGCACTATCCTGGGAGTGAGGGGGCAAAGGGCAGGTGGGTGCTCAGGAGTTTGGTGTCTGCTCCTTTGTTTCATTGAGGGTCTTTGAAGTCTTTCCTCTCCAACCCATCAGACTGGTAGCTCCCCCAAAGCCCACCTTCCTGCACATGTGACTTACATGGCTGGCCTTGAGGAGTGCCTGCTCCTTGCTATTCTTCACTGCCTTGGTCACCATCACTGGGGAGTAGGTGTCTGCCAAGAGTTTCTCCTGTTGGGGACAGGGAGGGAGAAGAGATCTGGAAGCACCCTCCAAGGCACAGTAGTGTTTGCAAAGGACTGGCAGGAAGTCCCAGCTGAGGTCAGACGTGCTGCTCCCTGGCATGGTGATGCCCTCTCCTTCAGGAGCTCTCTGGCTACACAGATCTTTCCTAATCTTCCTTGTCCAGTTTGACCCTCCCTCCAGAAGGCTTCCTTGATTAACACTGCCTTAGCAGTTCATTTCCACCTGCACTCTAGAATGGTTCAGGAAATGGGCTGTTCTGACAGTGTAAGTTTCCTGTACATATCATAGTGGCTACCATTTATTGAGTGCCTACTGTGTGTCAAACAGTGGGCTTTACATATAATATCTCCATTAAATCTCCAGGGCAACTCCTGTGAGGTCAGGATTCATTTTACAGGTGAGGAAACCGAAACCCAGATTGGCTTAATTACTTGTCCAAGGTCATTGTAGAGCCAGTTAGGAGCACACCTGGGGTTCACTGTCAGGTTTGCTGACTCTAAGGACTGCTAGACCAGGCTGTATTCTCTCTAGCCTCTTCATGGTATGAATGCTCTGTCTCTGTGGACAGACATCCCAGCTTCCTCTTCTTTTGTCTCTTCCCAGTGAGGTCTACAAGGGACACACAGTACACTCGACTGATCAGCTGACTGAATGGCTAAGGGGCTTTGACCCCACTTTTAGTTGACACTTATCAGGCCTGGAGTGGGGGTTAGGTTTCTGTCATGAGCTGGAGCCTGCCAAACCCACCTTGGGTATTACTTCATAGAGCCCATACATGGTATAGCTGGTCCCAATCCAGATCCTCACATCTTCCAAGGCATAGGCCTGGACGCTGTCACGGACTTGGCTGTAGTCCTCAAGTTGCACGCACATGGGGCCCGTGCAGCTGGAATTCAGGTACTGTAGAGTCTCAGGGCTAAAGCGACTCTTGTTTACAAATAACCTGAGTGGGGAAGGAAGACCAGGAGTGTCTGCTAAGGACAAAGCAAAGAACCAGAGACATACACAGTTTCTTTGTTCCTAATAGTAAGAGAAAGCCAGCACAGGAAGCCAAGATTTGGGGTTCATTGGGAATAGAGGTCAAGTGGTCAGGAAAAGCCAACATGAGGTTTCCCAAAGGGTCTTGCTGGAGCAGGTGCCAAGCTAATGGGCAGTCTGAAGGCTATATATTGGGGTGGGGTCAGTGGTGGGGCAATGAGGACAGAAGTTGGAGGAAGTTCATGATAGCAAGCCAAGGAAAAGCCTTACCTGATGGAGGAGTTCGTGAGCAGCGTGTAGGAATAGAAGAAGGGGTTATAGGGGATGTCATTGCTGCGAAGGTTGAAGAGCCCTTGAAAAGAATCAGTGGGGACTGTTTGAGGCTGATCTGCTTGGGGGTGAGCATTTCAGACACCTTTGCCTGTTTGCTTTGTTCCCCCCAATTTGCTGGGTGTACACTTTTATCATCTGGCTCTGAATGGTTCTAAGTCCTTTTGGGTGGGTGGGTGGGGAATTCAAGATACTGATGGGAGCTATAGACCTATCTCCCACCCTTCCCTGTGCAGGTATCCAGCATGAAGCACCCAGTTTTAGTGGGTCTTTAGAATGTCTGAAGCCCAGCTATATGGATTGGGCAAGAAGCCCTGAGCCATGTTGGAATGGAGTAGAGTTACTCTGGGTGTTAAAGTGGGGTCTGTGAGTGCCCTGGGATAGTGGCCAGGCTGGTGAGAGGAGTTTGTTGGTCCTCTTCTCATTAAGGAGACATATGCACTCTGCTGCCATGGTCAGTTCATTCCTTTGGTGGCCTGTGGGCTGGCCCCACCTTGCCTAAGGCCTCCTGGTTTCCTTATTCTGCAGACATGAGCTACTGTTCCCTTATGCCTTTTAGGTCTCACAGGTCATGGCCACAGAGCTCTTAGCAGCTGGTGGGTACATGGTTGTTTGGGGAACAGCTCTGTGTTGTAGGGTCCAGGAGGCTTGTGGGAGAACTCCTGCACCATTTGTGTCCATAAATCCACACTCACAGGCCGTCTCATCAAGTGCCGACAGAAGAACAGCAGTTGGGGCCTTGCTATGCGCCTGCATCTGGCTTCGGATGCCAGATACTTTCTCCTGCCAAGTGCTCCCTAGAAGCAAAGAAGCCCAAAGAAAGTGTAAACGACATATCTTATCTTTGACATTTGGTTCCTGGGAGGGCTCCTTGGACTAGTAGTTTTCCATTTTTTTTTAAACAAAGCAGTAGAATCCTTTCTTCAAACAAACTTTTTTTAATAGTGTAGTCACTAATGACATGGGCTCAGGATCTAGACTGGGCTCAAATGACCTGGTTTTGTCATTATTAGCTTGGAGACCTTGGGCAAATTATTAACCCTGGTGTGTCTTATTTTGTGCATCTTTAAAATAGGGATAGGATATAATAATAGGATCTACCTCAATAGGGTTGCTACGAGGCTCAAATATTTATAAAGGATGTAGAAAGTTGTTTTGGCACATAATGGGTCTAGTATAGTTTTCTGGTGGATATACAAGTATGCAGAAAGAGGTCAGGAGAGCTGCTCTAGTTGAAGGGCAAAGGGAGAAGGCTGTTGCCATGTTCAACTCTCCCCCATAATAACCCCAATATTTAATAAGCCCAGGGGTTTGGGGCTAAACACTCTGTGACTATCATTTTAATTCTTCCTTGCCCCGTTTTATAGATAAGGAAACTGAGATTCAGAGAGGTAAAGTGACTTATCTAGGATTTCCTAGTAGCAGGAGGTGGGACTTGGATTTGAACTCAGGTCTGTCTGACAGCATGACCCACACTCCTAATCTGTACAGACATGTAATATCTTGCTAACATTGTCAGTCTCTGGACCTGTCATTAGACTGCGTGCCACAGTGCCATCCTTTCTAGTACGCCTGCATCTAGATTCTAGGACTTTAGTTTTTGTCTTCTATCCCTGCCTCATGCAAGGCATATGGAATCTGCCCCTAGACAGGACTAGGAATTTTTTGGAAGAAGGTTGTAGGCATTAAGGGTCCTGTTTGGGTCTAGATATGAACATAAATGATAACTTAATGCCATTTAAAAATGTTATGCAAACAGATAAAAACTATTCAATAAGAACTAAATCTTTGGGTATGATGTACTTTTTAGTTTTATTTTGTTGCAGTGAAAATAGACATAGCATAAAATTTATCATTTTAACCTTTTTAAAGTGCACAATTCAGTTGACTTTAAGTACATTCACAGTATTGTGCAACCATTCTGCTATCTAATTCTAGAACATTTTCATCATCCTAAAAGGAAACCTTGAACACATTAAGGAATCACGTCCCATTTTCCCCTCCTTTCAGGCCCAGGAAACCACTAATCTGTTTTCTGTCTCTATGGATTTTCCAGTGCTGGGTGTTTCATGTAAATGGAATCACACAATATGTGGCTTTCTTTGAATGGCTTCTTTCACTTAGAATTACGTTGTTGATATTCATGAATATGATACATCTTTGAGAAAACAAATGAAATCAAATTTCAATGGTCTTACATGTTCAGCTATCTTTGTGTAGCTAACTTTTCATGTTCTGCTCTGCGCTTTTCATCGTTCCACCCCTTCACCTGCCTTTAAAATCTGCAAGTGACTGGAGAGAAAATCTCTTTTGTCTAAACTTCTTAAAGCTGAACTCTACTCTTTCACTTTCAGGCCCACTTCTGGCTCCTGATGGCTTATTCCTTGAAGAGTAGCAGCCTGAGATGTCTCAGCTTCTCCCTTGCCTTTGGAAAGTGACAAAAATCATGCAAATCTGACCCCAATCTCTGCTCTTTTTATCCTCACCTCTTCCTGGTATAACCATGACCTTCTTTATCTAAACAAGATGAGTTTTATTTATGACAAACAGTCTTGGATAGCCAGTTTCTTTAAAAATGGTGTCAGGATGAAGAAAGTATGATTCTTCAAGTTTAACATTGGAACAGATAAAGAAAATTGGGCACAATTTTCATTCATTTCATCATAGCCACAATTTTGAAATTAGCCTTCTGCTTTTTAAAAAACTCCTTTCTAAAGCATAAATGCACATGGACTTGTGTGTGGAAAGGAAACTCTCAGATTGTGTAATGTGATTAGGAGTACTAATCCATTGGCTCATTCAGAATTCCAAGGGAGGGTAGGGGTGGTTGGTGGCCCAAACTGATTTACAATCAGTCCTGGTCAGCATTTTAGTTATTACTTAAAAGAATCATAGAGCATACTGATGATCTCGTATGAAGTATTTAGATAGTATTGACAAGGTCAAGGTTATGAATGATAGATTTTTTTTCTGGGTCAGTTAACTTTCCTTTGTGATCTAGCTAAAACCTGAACCCTCATCTATGTTGTCGACTGACCCTAAACTTGGTTATTTACTTAATCTCCACCCCAGCCATCTCTCAAATCTAAATTCTTCACCACAGGAGGGCCAGAAATAAAAGGTTGAATGATTCAATATGAACCAGCCTCCACTACTGGAGAAGCAACTCAGACCATGTACTTTCTCTCTTCAGAGGGTTTTTCATTTTCTCTGACTCTCCTGTTTCCTCCCTTCCTGCTCACTCTTGCTTCAAATCCCAACATCCTTTCTTGATTGTAGCATTTTCTAAATATTGGACTAAGGACTCTCTGTGGGGAGAGGGCCCAAAAAGCTGCATTTTAACCAAGCATCCTGGGCAACCTGGGTGTATGCTAAGGCTTGCAAATCATTGCTTTGGTATTTTTTCAGCAAAAAACAAAACAAAACAAAAACAAAAACAACAAAAAACTCTAGGGATCCTTGTGTTTATACAAGTTGGGAAAGAGAATGGGCTTATGGAATCACCTGTGAATGCCTCCTGCAGGGCATAAATAGGTTGGCTTGGCACTGGGGGCCTTTCTGATCCCCACACCATATCCACAAGATTGGATGTAATGGACACCAGCTGTCTGTTGGAGCCCTGGAGGGCCAGGTCATAACTCTTCCAGGAGTCTGCAAGATAGGAAGGAGTCACTTTCGCCTTGCCCATTTACAACTCAGGAAAAACTGTGATTTGAAGCAAATTAGTCCTGATTCCCTTTGCCTGCTGTTCCACTCCCATAGCCCAAAGTGTTATGAGCCTGCCCCAGCATTCTGGCCCTTCTGGTATTCATGCCCCACCCTGAGCTTTGCCTCACATCCTACTTCTTCTGTTTTCCAAGCTTAACTTCTCCTGAACATACCTCAATCCTGTCCACTGCCAATTGGCTAATCTTGTCTTATAAAGTACCAATGGTTGGGGGCAATCCCTCCTTTGAGACTTCAATGCCACTGTTTAAATGAATGGTGATGTTCAAGTCATTGGATAGGCTGGCAAAGAAGTCAGTTTGGAAGTAGGAGTCATTCAGTGTGTATTCATGAAAATTCCACCATTGAGGACATAATCTGGCCAACTGCCTGGGGCCCTGGAACTCAGGAATCTATATTCCCAGGAGTCCTGTTTGACTTAAAGTCCATCCCAACTCCATTTACCCTTCTAAGCTACATTCCAGAAGGGGGTTTCTGGGTGATGCTAAGTACCATAACTGGTAGAGTTCCCAGCCACAGAAGATAGTTGTGGGTTTAAGGACATCCAGGCAGGCCTATTTACTCACTAGATCTTAATAATTCCCTGAGTCTCCTAGGTTGATTTTCTGTACTCATGACTTTTAACAAATTCCATATTCATTTTTTTGTGGTGCTGGGGGATTGAACTCAGGGCCTTGTGTATGCAAGGCAGGCACTCTATCAACTGAGCTGTATCCCCAGCCCCCTCCATATGCATTTTAACATATTTAATTACACAATTCATGAATACATCTTTGTTGCAAAATATTCTGCAACCATAGCTTCAAAACACTCTATCTCTATGGCTACATCACTACCGCCTTTCTAAAAAGGTATGTTTCTTTACTTCTCAGGAAATCTGAGCCCTACCCTGCTGGTTTGGACAAATCTAGGGACTTAGGGAAGAACATACCAATAGAGAAGAGGAAAGGGTCAAAGCCCACACTCCCTCCAGAAGGAATCTCAGCCAGCAGCCAGGTGACAATGGGAGTGGTACCAACTGAAAGACAAGAAGGAATGTAGAGGTCACCTCCAGGGTCAGCCTCAGGCTTTCTAGCCAGGTTTCTGATTATGATAGTCCTACCATGTGTGTCCTTGGGATCAGCCTCAAAGGTCAGGGATGGCCTCAAATCTCCTGAGCTTTCCACAGAGGCTCAGCATGGCCCTGAAAGACCCCCTTACCTATACTTTCCAAAACCTAGTCTGGGATGCCGGGCTATGGGGACAGATCCATGTGGGCCTTCTACCTTCTTTATGGAGCTCCCAGTTGCAGTCCATCTGTCGCTCAGCCTGAGTCCAATAGCGACTGTCGGTCCAGAGAGCTGCTTTCCTCAGGGTCACCACTGCAACACCTGGGGTAGAACAGAGAAACTTGGAGGTGAGGGTGAAGGCGAAAGTGAGGAGTATGGTTTCAGAGGATGGATATGCAATACAGTGCTGGTTCTGAGATGTCACAAGGGACCTCTTAGAAAGAGTCTGCCTCTGCCTCCTTTGGAAGGAGAGGCAGGAAATGTTAAAGAGAGCTTCAGGGAAAGCTGACAGAAAAAATATACTGGATCAGGCATCTCCATGTTGAGGATACACACACACACACACACACACACACACACACACACACATATATTAGTTATATATGGACATAATATCTTTGTTTATTTTTTATGTGGTGCTGAGGATCAAACCTAGTGCCTCACACGTGTGAGGCAAGTGCTTTGCCACTGAGCTATTGCACTCTACCACTGAGTGGTAACCCTAGCCCTGTTGAAGATTTCTTCATTGAAAGGGTCATTAAGACTTTTACCAGGAGAAGTGGGATCTGTTTTTGCCAGTCCAAATGATCTGATCCTGGCCAGATATGGTGGCCCAGGACTATAATCCCAGTGACTCCAGAGGTGAGGCAGGAGGATCACAAGTTTGAGGCTATCCTGGACAATTTAGTGAGACCCTGTCTCAAAATAAAAAAGAAATCAAAAGGACTGGAGATGGGGGCTGGGATTGTTGCTCAGTGGTAGAGTGCTTGCCTGGCAAATGTGAGGCCCTGGGGTCAATCCCTAGCACCACATAAAAAGATAAATAAATAAAGTAAAAAATCAATTGACAACTACAAAATATTTAAAAACAAAAGGGCTGGAGATGTAGCTCACTGGTAATGCACTACTGGGTTCAATCTCCAATACTAAATAAATGTATAAATAAGAGAGAAAGAAAAGAATTCATACTGCATGTAGGTGCTCTCAGTGTCAAGACTTGGTTCTGATAGGGACACTAAGTCAGAGGCTTACTTGAAGATTGATGGGGAAGACAAATCTAGCAAATCTGGCAAAGAGAGTTAGGGCTCATGGTGGGCAAAGGCAAGGCAGCTTGGAGTGCAGGGAAGAAATGTTGAGGATCAGCAAAGGAAATCTGGATTTCATTTAAGGGGCCAGGATTGGGGATGGGGTGTGTTTTAGAAACTGGGACATCATTAAGGGCTTCTATATTTGTGTCTTATTTGGCCATGTGAAGTGGTATTGTCTGTAAAAAGATTTGCAGAGTACAAGTTTATCCCCAAATGAGTCTTCTGAAGGGAAAAGTGGGGCCCTAGTGGCTAGATGTGGAAGTAGCAAGTGTCTCAGAAATGGAGTCCAGGGAGTGCTGGGCTGGCGTAACTTCAGCAGAGGTAATGATTATGGGAAGGAAGCCAGGAGGTCATCTGCTGTCTTTCTGCACAGAAATGTGGCCAGTGGACCATGAGATGTGTGCCCTGGAGAACCTGGTAGCTTCAAGGGTGGTGGAGGACAGGCAGAAATGGAGAGAGAGGAGTGGGGAAAAAGAGAGGAAGAGGACTTTGGATAATAGGCCCAGGGGTCCTGGCTCTTGAGGCACTAGCCATGCCAGGCCCCCCTCTTAACACCTCTAGTCTACCAAAAGAAGCAATGAGGGTAGGCAATGGCCATTACCTGCAGTCCCTGTGAAGCCTGTAATCCACGCACGCCTCTCATCATGTCTGCCAATGTACTCACTCTAGGAAATTCACAACACCATCATTAGCCTTTTCCATGGGATCAGATACCCATGTGGAAGACCCCCAACCACATCCCAGGTTTTTTTAATGTATGGTAAACTCCAATCAGTCCCAAAAGGCTAAGCATACTGTGCACCTCTTCCAGGAAGCCTTCTGTAACTCCCCCAACCTTCTATCTTTCCTTTCTTTGACCAATTTTATATCTCAGAGTCTCAAACCTTTTGGCCTAGCACTAGACTCAGGGTTGCCTTGGATTGTTTTGCAAGGGAGTTTGTCACTCTGACCAGAAAACAAGTCCTGTGTAGTCCAGGATCATGTCCTTTGGTTCCCCTTTCCAGATATCCCCTCCTCCCCAGTCTAGCTCTACCCTGGGTACATCATAAATAACTTCTGCATATGGCTTTACATGTTATTGTTGTGTTGGACCTCTATATCCATGGATTCCACATTTGTAGCTTCAATCAATCACAGGCCAAAAGTATTTGTAAAAATTGTGCCTGTACTGAACATGTAGACTTTTTTCCTTGTCATAACAGTATGACTACCATTTGTATATTTGTATTGTATTAGGCATTATAAATAATTTAGAGATGATTTGAAGTACATGGAAGGATGTGCACAGATTATGTACAAAAATACTATGCCTTTTAATGGATTTGAACATCCACTTATTGGGGTATCTGTGGGGTCCCTGGAACCAATCTCTTGCAGATACTGAGGGATGACTATATCCTGGTGCTCAGAATCCTTGGAAACAAGATATCATTATTCTCATTTTGCAAAAGAGAAAACTCAGGCTCAGAGAAGTTCAGATCCTTATCCAAAGTTCTTAGCCTTCCCCAATAGGTGGGAAAACTAATTTAAGCAAGGCTGTTGACACTGAAAGTGCCTTCTCTTCTAACTTGGCTGATCTTGGGTAGGTGGGAGGGTGGAGATGGAGCCAGTGGTGGGAAAAAGTAGGGTGGCTAGGCAGGTTTGCTGCTATGGGAATAGTTGCCCTTGTTCTGACCATCTTGCTTCCTGTGTGTCCTCCCTCACAGCCTATCCACCATACTTGCATGGTCCAGGACTCTGGATCATCTCACTGCTCCATTTATCAGGCTATGGGATGGCCTGGGCTGAAAGGGAGCTTAGATTTCTTCCAGTCCAATTTCCAGCCTCCATTCTAACCTCCTAGGGCAGGGATGCCTTAAACATTCTCTCTGGATCTGCCACCTGGGAATTGATCAAAATTCATTTTGAAGTTGTTTTATCATTTTACTTCTTGTGGTTAATAGGATTTAGCTATACCTTCCTTCTGATGTAAAAGAATATGTTCTTTCAGTTGCCCTAAAAGTACCGTGTGCAAGCTTTCCACTTCCACCCCTTTGCCTTTCAAATCCCTTCTCTGCCTTCCTCTTTGGAGTCTCCTGTGTGTGGCCAGTGCTCACAGGCTAAGCCAGGGTAGCTGAGGGGAGAAACGGAAGAGGAACAGTCCCTTACCATGTGGGCATCTGTGTCTGGGATGATGTAGGCGGAGAGATTCCAGGCCTGTATCTTCTGGCGGAGGGCTGTCAGCCTCAGTGTAGTATTGACTGCAGTAACTGGAAGGTGCTAACAGGAACACATCCAAACACATACAGACACAGGCACGTACTGCTTAGAGAAAATGATGACTCCTTCCACCCTGCCACCTCCAGAGGAGTCACAAGCCTCTCCTGAGGCTGGGGTTGGGGGTGGTTTGGCTGACCTGGCCTGGGGAGGGGTGGGGTAGCAGTTAATTTACTAGTTAGAGTTGATTAAGATGCCTGGGCTGAGAGAAGATGGAGGTGTTTTAGGAAGAGAAGGACCCTTTGTGACAGTAATGGGACCCGAGTCTAGGATAGGGTATTGAATGAGAACAGAGGGACCTGAGCTCTGGTCCTGAGCCAGGTTGCCAGGACAGTGCCTCTTCGGATACCTTGGGGTAGAGTAGCCAGATTTAGCCAATGAAAATACAGGATGTCCACCCAGTCACATTTGACTTTCAAATCAACAATGAGTAATGTTTTAATTTAAGTATGTGGCATGTACTATTTGGAGCATACTTATACTAAAATATTATTTGTTATCTGAATTTCAAATGTAACTCAGTGTCTTGTATCTTATTTTACAATGTACCTTGTGGCTTTTGCAACTTGTCACCCACTGGTCCCAAATGGCAAAGGATAGTGAATGAGTACCCCCAGCAGTTTGAGATATTGCCCAGAAAGATCCACTCCAAGTCAGACGTATCCTTAAAGCCCATTTTATCTATCCAATGAAAAATCATGTGGTTTTTTTTTTTGCTTATTTTGTTTTGCTTTCTACCCAAAACATATCCATGTTTGATTTAATATAAAAGTAATGTGGTTTGCCTCACCTGTCTGTCTGCCCTAGTGGTTCTATAAAGTTGATACTGCATGCAGATGTTTATTTTGTGGCTTAGGGTACTATGCACTTGTTCACCTCTTCACACCTTCTGGCCCACCCCTGCCTGGAGAAGATCTTTAGCCCAACTCTGGTCATGCAAAGAATCATTCTGATCCCCAGCTGGGAAGCTGACCACCTGATCTCCTTTGGCTCTGATCTGCTGGGCCTTCTGGTTTTCACACCCTAGGTCTCATTCTCTTTGACTTTTCGTTCCATTGGCTCTTCTAGTCTCCTGACTTCCTCCCTCCCCCCTTCTCTGCTACTCTCTTCTCTGTTCTAGAATGTTTTCTTATTTCCCATCCTCCTCTTTGCCTCTGCCCATCCTCAAAGGCCAGCTAGAGTCTCTCTCCCTTCCTTCTTTCCTCCCTTCCTCCTCCTTCCCCCTGGGGGTTTCCCAGGGTCAGGCCAGGGCAGAAATAGAGAACACACTATGGGAATGAGTGGGGAGGGGAAGGGCACCACACAGGGTCGGAGGCTGTGTTGGAAACCTGAGACCCTACTTCCGGTCCTGATGGATGTTAATAAAAAACAGGGGCCCCGGGGTTGGGAAATCAGGAAAAAGCCTGTAGGGGAAGAAGCTCGAAATTGAGCCCTTGGGAAAAGGTGAGGACGACAAGGCGGGAGGTGTAGGGCGGAGCCACCTGCGGGGCGGGGCTGCGTGTAGGTGGAGCCAAGTCCTTACCGGAGGGCTAGTAGAACAGTTTCTCACATCCTCTCTTGCAAGGTCTGCTGGCGTTGGGTGGCTCCAGGCATAAGCTAGAAACCAGGAGAAAAATCCCAGGTCATTTGGGGACCAGAGAGTTCTCAGAAAGGACAGGGACACCCTCTCTCAGCCCTGTTTTCCGCTCCGATCCTCCACCCTTTGAAGCCCACCATGCTGTCTGTCTCTACTTGAAAATAATAACAATCATGTTTCATGGTAAATCAGACTGAATTGGATGGCACCCTGGGTCACAATCAAAGAAAATAGTTTCATCAACAAGTGAATGCCCCTTTGGATGGGTTTTAGTGCTCATTACATCAATTTTTTTCTTCTAACCTAATTGAGTCTTTTCAGGGCCTATTGAAGTGGAAAAGTTGTGTGTAAATTAAATTTTGTAATCAAATTTTCTTTGAAATGCTCTAGAGGATCTCTCTAAATAATCATCCCCATCTTTATTCTAGCCTTTTATAAATCTAATTTCACATATTAGGTTTACTTAAATTCAAGACCCACTTGTACTATTTCTTACAACCTGAATCTCTGATTATCATTTTAGTCTTATTTTAAATATATAAGATAGCAATCCCATTCCAAAATCAGAACCTCCTGGGGAAAGATGGATTAGTATTTTAAAGAGTTCCAACTATGGGCCAATACTGAATTTATCAATTTATCTATTGAAGTCATGTGCCACACAACAACCTTATGGTCAATAAATAGCTCAAAAGATTTTATTGTTTGATGATGTCATAGCCATCTTAATTTGTGTAAGTATATTCCATGATGTTTCCAGAACTTCAAAATTGGCTAATAGCATATTTCTCAGAACATGTCCCCATTGTTAAGCAACCCATGACTGTATCTTATTTGATACTTGCAACAACCTTGTGAGGTGGGTATTATTATTCATTTTCTACAGAGCATGAAGCCAAGGCCCAGGTAAGTTTGGTAAGTTGACCAAGTTTTGCCATACTGAGTCAGTGGTTTCTTGGGGATTTGAAACTAGGATATCTGAATTCAAAACAGGGGGTGGGGCCGGGGAGGTAGCTCAGTAGTAGAGTGCTTGCTTACCATGTGTTAGGCCCTTGGTTCAATACTCAGCATTGCACTCCCCCCCAAAGTGGGGGTGCCCTTTCTATCCTCCCACTCTTCCAACCATGGGGGCGTGGGCCTGGAATGTGAGGGTCCATAGAAGGGACAGAGTGTATGGAGATATAGTTTACAATTTGGGCTGTGTCCCAAATTTGATGTGACCCTAGGAGAGTGACCCAATATTCATTCCTAAATGTCTCTATAAAACCAGGCCTGGGCTAAGTACTCTCAAGTTCTGGGTCTCTGTAAAAAATGAAGACTGGATTACAGTTCCTTCCTGTCAGAAAAGTCCAAGACTATCTCTGATACTCTTTTCCTCTATCCTCTATCTTTACAGAGGATCATGGGGGCCTGAGTATAGGGAGACACTATACTTTTACCTTCTGAGTGGGTTGAACTACAGATGGAAGGGGGTTGGCTAGTGTCTAACATCATGAATGCTCTGCCTGTATGCCTTGGCCTCATAAACTCAAGTGGGAGATGAGATCCTTATTGTTCATTTAAGAAAATGAACACCCATTTCTGTAGGAAGAAATCTCTATTAAAATGGTAGTGCTAAGATGCCAACATAAGAAGCAGGACCATCCAACCCATGTCCCTGTTCTCTGAGGCCAGAAAGAACAGGCTCTGAAGCCAAATCACTCTATAACCCCTGGCACAGGGCCTGCCACTTAGGGAGGGGTTCCTTAGGAACTGGATGCTATATTAATGAGAAGGGTCCTGCTGACAAAGAGCAAAGGGAAGGGAGGGGAAGCCAGGGGTGAGGGAGGTGCTGAACTGGACACTTAGTTGAGGACAAACAGGGCATTGTAGGGGTGACCAAGATTCTCTCCTTGAGCAGTTTAGATAGATCCTCTGAGCCCTTTTCTTGACAAGTCCCAAAGTTTGGCCTTCTGTGTCAGTCCTGTCCTTTCCTGGCCTGCATTGACCCATCTTAGCAGGAATCCTGCCAATTAAGTTTAGAGAGACCCCCTCCTTGATATCTGATCACCCTCAATATCCGATCAGATTCCTCTTCCTTTGCCCTTGATATCTGTTCACCCTAGCCTATCTTTAACAAGAAACCTAAGTCAGTTTAGCAAGAATCCCCCTACCCTCAATGATTCTTCTTAGTAACTTTCCACGCACCGACCCCCTCCCTCTGTTTATTGGCTGTAAATTTCCAGTGGTCTCTGTTCTCTGCAGCCACTCCTATCTCCCCTGCTGCAGGGCCACTATTGCAGTAGTCTTGAATAAAGCCTTCCTTACAATCCTAATAAATGCCACAATCATTTTGTCATTAATGGGTGAATGGAAAGGTGCCCAAACAGATTAATTAGGCCCAAGTCACAAGCCCCTGAAGATCACCCTTGAAGGGGCCTCTTCTTGAAGACAGAGAGGGTGACCAAGAAAGAAGAAACAATCAGGGCCCCACACCTCAATCCAACCCCTTCTGAGCCCAGAGGGGAGAGGCCAGAGCTGCTCTCTAGGAGAGGCCCAGAAGCACATACCACAGAAGAGGATAAGCCAAGGGCAGCAGCCCCAGTGAGCCCAGGCCATGGGGTTTCCAGATGCCGATGCTGAGTAGATGGAGGAACTGGGGAGAGGGGCAGGGCTGTTTCTCTGGCCTCTTCGTCCGACCCTTTCCTGGACTGGAACAGACAGGGGTGGGGACTGGCAATGGGAAGGAGGAGTCCAGCTGGTGGATGGAGAGTCCCGCTCTGATCTTTTGTTTCAGAGGGCTCTGGGAGCCACAGTGGAAAGGGGAGACTTGGGCTGCCCCAGACAACCTGTGTTGATTGCTTGTGGCTTGAAGTAGGGTGTAAGCCGGCCCCAGGGCATAGTCCAAAGATCTCTGAGACTGAGGAGCAACAGCTGGTCTCAATCAGCCTTCTTCTCCCAACCCCCTCTTCAGCAGCCCTGCCCTGGCCATTCCAGACTTCTGTCCCCACTCCCTCCAGCAAGCTGATTCCCATTAGTTTCCCCACTCCAGACTTTGGCTACAGCCTTGCTTTTTGCTTTGGGATGGATATTTGCTCCTCCTTCTGCTCCTCCTCCTCTGAGCTGGCCTGTCCCAGAAAAAAAGCCAGTGTCCTCTCTCTCCATAGTGCCTGGGAAGCCCCAAGGCACCCTTTGGGGAAGTCGGTTGCAGCTAGATGGTTACTTTCTGGAGCTGGCATGATTTCCCTCAGGAGAGTCCACTTTGCAAAGATGCCCCCAGCCCTTCTCTTGGGCTCTTATTCAGCAGTTCCATTCAGCAGCACATTCTGGCTCTGCTAAATCCCAGCTGCTTAGGGATTGTTCACACTGTGAGGGAATGAAGGACCAAAGGCATCTTGGTTTGGAGGGATCAGGTGGTGCTACTGAAGAGAAAATAAGACCCAGACAGAGCAGTTTGGGGGCTCTGAGAAGACAAATTTGGTTAAATGGAAATGCCATTTCTGCCATAACTTCTGGAACAGGGATTTGGTTGTCCTGTATGCAGGTCACTCCTAAATAGCACAATTCCCTGTGAAGGTAGTGGAGCAGCTGAGGTCAGCCTTGTCCCTGTACCCAGGCATGTCAGAGACTAGCATGTGGCACCAGTGCCAAGGGCAGCTCCTAGTAAATGCTCTCTAAGATCTCTGTCCTCAGGCAAGTTGAGCCCAGAGAGGAATGCTTCAGGGAGAGACAGACCCAGCAGATGGTATTCCCTTAGCCTACAGGGCAAAAAGCATTCTGCCCCCCTCTTTCTTTCTTGTACTGGGAATTGAACTCAGGGACACTTTAACCACTGAGCCACATCCTCAGTCCTTTTTATTTTTTTTAAATTTTGAGACAGGGTCTCACAAAGTTGTTTAGGGTCTTGCTGAATTGCATAGACTGGCCTAGAACTTGATATCCCCCTGCCTCAGCCTCATGAGTTGCTGAGATTACAGGTGTGTACCGCTGCACCTAACATCATTTCTTTGATTTTTTTAAAAATATCTACAACAAATTTAAGGCAGTTTTCAATAATCCATTCAAGAGCAAAATAGGCCATTTTGTAGAAGGAAAGGGTGTTGGTAAAGATGGCGCCCGGAGTGCTTCTCTTCTGGGAGTTCTGTGAATGGTGCGAACTTTGAATGGCGGCACTTCCAATCCCTGAAGTGGTGCGAACTCTCGGCCAATAAAAAAGTAACAGCCCACTCTTCCCGCATCCCCCTTACCCTGCGCTGAGCCCATAAATATCAGCACCCTGTTCGGGCTCACTGTCTTGCTTGACCCCCTTCTCTTCTGCGACTGGCCCCTGCGGTCCCGCTAATAAAATCTCGGACAGGTAAACAGTTGTTTTGGCTTGTTGAATTTACAGAGCTTTTCCGCCGCTCCTTGCAAAGGGAACCTTCATGAACTCCTTGGTGGGGTAGAGTCAAAATGAATGAGGAAGCTCTATGAACCCTACCTTCAGCCCCAGAGGACAGATCACAGAGAAAGACTGAGAAGAACTCTGTCATTCTGTGACTACTGAAACTCTTGTTGTCTTTTTCCTGTCCCTTCTTTCCTACCCTTCCAGAACTGGTGGTGAAGTTAGTCTCTGAGACCAGAGGACAAGAGAAATGCCCTCTCAAAGGTTCTTGCCTCCTCTGTGCCATGTTTAGGCATCCTAGAGGGAAAACATGTAGAGTTGATGGGGTCATACAGAGGAAGGACTCTGAAGACAGCCTTCAATGACATGCACAGTCCTACCACTTCATCAGTGAACCTAGGAACACTGACACAGGAGCCAGACCGCCTGGATTTCAGTCCCAGCTCTGTCACAGACCAGCTGCATGGCCTTCATCTCTGAAACCTCAGTTTCTCTACCTGTGAAGGGATTATAAAAACAATAAATTGTTAAGGCTGTGATGAGATTTAAATGGGTTAATGTTTGTGACGCTCCTAGAACATGCCTGGCAGAGGATAAAAAGTAAATGCTATATGAGTGTTTGTTAATACAAATACATAACTGAAGTGAGTCTTGTCTGTACCTTGTTCTTTCTCTTTGGCCTCCAACACTGCTGAAATAGCAGTTACTGTTATAGCAAAGATCAGCTGGGCCCAAAGGCCCTGAAAGCAAACAAATGGTACAGACACCCCTCCCCCATCTTCTGGACTTTGCCTGGAATGGTCTCCACACAGTACTCAGCCCTCCAGTTCTGTCCCCTGAGTCCTTGCCTTGGCCCTGGTAGTGATGATGACCTCACCTGCCTTTACCCTCAGCTTCTCCCTATCTCCTTATCTCAAAACCACTATCTGTACTCTCATCAATTTGGGGACTTGAACCCAACTTGGCAACAGGCCTGAAGTAAAAAAGAATGATTCAGAATAGGGAGGGTGAAAGACTGAGGGTCCTTGTATCAAAGTTGTTTGGAAGACCCATGAATCACTGCAGTCTTACTGTGTCTTGCACAAGTGTTTATTTCACTTTTTGGTCCAAGGCTATCCAAATTCTGAAATTTGAGTAATTGTTTTCTAGGGTTACTGTCTCTATCCTCGTTTTTTTTGTACCCTGAGCCAACCCCAGGCTTGCCACCCAGATCTGTTTTCTGACTTGGGCTTGCCCTTTCTGGGCACTGGTACCTGCCAAACTTCCATCAGAATGCACCAACTTGACTTCCATGTTCTTCTGCTTGAGGATGATCCATACGTATCCTGAGTCACAGCTCAGCTTACATTCACAGTGTATTTGATATATTTGAAGAAGAAAATATAGGTAATGGGACCAGCATGCAAAAACCCTAGCACCAGGGCCATAAGCAACTCTGCCGTGGGAACCTCTGGGAAAGTAGAACCAGGAGAAAGACCAAGAGGAGGGAGGTGAGGCCCAGCAGGTCAGAGAAGCAGGGGGCATCCTTCAGCATTAGAGGAGCAGTGGGAACAGTGGTGGGGTGAATGTTGGCAGTAGAGGTACAGAAATGGCACTACGGGCAGTGGTGATGGGGAGCACTGGCAATCTGGGGACAGACTGGTGGCAACATACCTGAGGGAGCACAGATGGGCAGCTCCAAGGCTTGAATAGCCCGTGGCAGTGGGAAAGTCAGATAACCAAATGGGACTCTGGGCACTGCAATGCCCCTATCTCAGGGATACTGAGGGTGAAATGATGAAAGGAGCCCTGAGGTATTAACAGTTTTGCAGTTGGGAAAGACTTGCTAGTGCACTTCAGGTCTAACTGCTGATATGACTTCAGAGGCTGACAGATTGGAAACTTCACTTTGTGAGCACAACATGTGACAGCTGCTTCCAAACCCCTTCATTTCCGCCCTCAAGGTTTCTCAACAATGCTGGGAGGTAAGTGGGGTCCTACCAGCATAAGGAGAGACAGACTTGGACAAGAACGGTGGCTTTGCCCAGGTCTGAGCTGACCTCTTGTCAGAGCTGGGACTCAAACTTTGGTTGGGGTGACTTTGAGGCTCCTGTTGCTTCCATTGGACCTCACTACTACCCCATCTGAAATTCCTCCCTGGCTTCCATTGCCCTCAGGATAGAATTCAATTTCTGCAGCCCAGGAACCAAAGACTTCCTCCCTGATATATCCCACTACCCATATCTTGTCTATATTCTCTTCATTCATCAAAGTCTAGTTCAGAAGTCACCTTGTCCACCAAGTTCTGACCACCTTGAGTTGATGCCTCCATCCCAGGTTCTTCTGTAACATTTTGTTTGAGCATCTACTTTAAACTTCTTACATTAACTCCTGTGCTTTCTTGACTCTTTTCCTCTAGGTCACCCATCTCTGAAGACAGGAGCTTGCTCTTATAAATATTTGTATCTACAAAGGCATCTAGGACAGAGCCCAGCAAAAATTGAGATCAACAAAAGTTTGTTGAGTTGACACTAAATCCCAACAATGTGTAGTCCAGCCTGCCATCTTGCTCCTGCAAGGAATGTGTTGAGTGGGGGGCAATTTTCCATCCTTAAAAGGTTGCTGTGGTGTTATTGGTGGTGTTATATATTGTCCATTATATCACACCTGCCACCTTTTGACAAATAACCACACTGCCTGTGTGTGTGTGTGTGTGTGTGTGTGTGTGTGTGTGTGTGCACATGTGCATTCATGCTCATATACGTATGTGGTCAGAGGGTAGGGGGCAAGTGTTTGTTTCATGGAAGCTGATTTTTGGTGTTATGTCACCCACAGATTCTCCACCCAGACAGCCAAGCAGCAGGGAATGGGGTTGATCCCCTTAGAACAAGGATTGGCCATCCATTTTCTGTGGTTGGTAGATCCCAGGAGCAGCTTCTGTCCAGCAGCTCCCATGAATCCTCCTCTTACTCCTTCTTTTTCTCCTTCTCCTCTTTTAAGTTGATGATTATGGTCCAGGAAGTATTTTAGTGAATTTCAGTGGGCCTGGCTGGAGACCTGTGTGGGCCAGTTAGCTTGGTTCACTTCTGTGATCACAGACTAAATCAGATCTTTAGCCCTAGCTGAGTCCTATGCTCAGCCATATGTGTGATACAAACCTATGTTTTGTCCTCAGGGGTCTTGTACTGCAACAGGACACATGGTTAGAGCACCACTGGGGCTTGCTGAGGTTCCAGTCCATTCTACTCATGTCTCTATTTGATGGTCTTTTGACATTCTCCCAGACATTTCTCCTCTTTAGTAGCCAGATCTCTACTGCTCAGCCATTTTGGGACCCTCTCTCTACCATCTTCTCTCCATCCACACTACCTTTTCTTTCTGTCCCTTGTCCTATCTTTCCTCTAGCATCAGACAGTTGTCTGTTCTTTTCTCTCCACCTGAAATGTTCCACTCCTTCCTTCCTCTCTTGGCCCTATGGACTCCTCTTCTTTCCAGTCTCACCTCAAGTGTCACTTAGTCTCAAAGATCTCTCTGACCTCCTGGCTAGGTGGACTTCTTCTGGTATTCCCCTTATTGCCTTTCTCACAGTTTCTGTCATCTGTCTCTTAACATTTCCCCAATCTTGAGGGTGACCATGACAATAAGCTCATGGTTGCCTCTCTCCCACATGTCTTCCATTATCTTGGGAGACATCAAGTTTCCTGTCAATGACTCATCTAATATCTAAGTTCTCTTGAGTCCAAAGCTCCTCAATTGAAAACCCTTTCTCCTCTACTCCTCCTTAGCCCTCCACACCCAGAGCAACATTTGAGGCCTCATCATTGCCTGGGATTACTGTCCTCTGTCATACTGAACTTCAACCTCCCATTCCTCTGCTACACCCTCCTGCTCTGGCAACAGACCTTTCTTCCTCACTCTTATTACATCTGACTTTTTGCTTCACCAAATCTTCCTATCCATTATCCTGTGCTCTTCATCTCCACTTATCAGCATCCCCTGGTCTCATTTCCCTCATTTATTCTAAACTACATTAACCATCACCCCAACTTACTAACACACATTTAGCTCTCCTATTGCTGTGACCTCCCACTACATCCATCCTGTCAATCTTTACCTCTGTGTGTATCATTCTTATTAATAGGAGTGTTTCTTTCTCTAGAAATAAACATGGTTCACACCTTCATTTCTTTCAGACTTCTGAAATGCCACCTCTGCAGAGAGACCTTCCCTGATCTCATTGTTTGAACAATGCTTCTGCCACTCCTTATACTCTATTCTGTTTTATTTATTCTTCATATCATTTACCTGGCATTATATTATGTATCTGCTTATTTTTGACCACTGCTATAACTTGGGATCTAGAACACTGTCTGACACTTAGTAGGCATTTGTAAATATTTGTTGAATGAATGAGCAAATCCCAGGACATTTTAAC